TTCAAGAGAAAGCACTTGAAATTCGACAACAAACTCTTCCTTCAAATGATCCCTTATTGGCTACTTCATATAACAACATCGGTAGTGTGTATAACAATATGGGAGAACACTCGAAAGCCCTTTCATTTTACAAAAAAGCACTTGAAATATGGCAAAAAACTCTTCCTTCAAATGATCCTTTATTGGCTACTTCATACAGCAACATCGGTTTGGTGTATAATAAAATGGGAGAGTACTCGAAAGCACTTTCATCTCACGAAAAAGCACTTGAAATTCGACAAAAAACTTTTCCTTCAAATCATCCTGATTTGGCTATTTCATACAACAACAGCGGTTTGGTGTATAATAACATGGGAGAGTACTCGAAAGCACTTTCATTTCACGAAAAAGCACTTGAAATTCGACAAAAAACTTTTCCTTCAAATCATCCTTTATTGGCTACTTCATATAACAACATCGCTAGTATATATTACAACATGGGCGAGTACTCGAGAGCGCTTTCATTTTTCGAAAAAGCACTTGAAATTAAACAAAAAACTCTTCCTTCAAATCATCCTGATTTGGCTACTTCATACAACAACATCGGTAGTGTGTATCGAAAGATGGAAGAGTACTCGAAAGCACTTTCATTTCACGAAAAAGCACTTGAAATTCGGCAAAAAACTCTTCCTTCAGATCATCCTGATTTGGCTACTTCGTACAATAACATTGGTAATGTATACAACAGCATGGGAGAGTACTCGAAAGCACTTTCGTTTTATGAAAAAGACCTTGAAATTAAACAAAAAACTCTTCCTTCGAATCATCCTGATTTGGCTACTTCATACAGCGATATCGCTAACTTGTATTATAATACGAAAGACTATTCAAAAGCACTGTCATATTTAGAACATGCTCTGGGCATCAGCCAACGCGCATTACCTCCAACTCATCCTGATATTAAAAATGTGAAAAAGGGTATTGAAATTGTAAAAGAAGCAATGAAAAAGAATAGTTCATAAATAAATAAAATTATATTTTGTTCACTTATTTTTGAACTAGTTCTAGTTTGTAACGGCTGGGACGCGACTACAGAAAACAACTCAGTATATAATAAAAACGCAATGAACAAAATGGACTGATAAGATGATACACATATATTTCTATGTGTATAAATGAACTTCTCAGACGTATTTATATTTCTTATCGTTTATGAGAGTCTTCTTTGCAATAAAAGAAGAAGAATAACTTAAATGGAATTAAATTGTAATAGTACTGAATGAGGCCTTGAATGATGAAGAAAAAAAGTTAAAAAACTACTATATATATATATGGATTTGTCGTCAAAGCATAGTCTAATTGAGACATATTGAAGATATAATGAATTATAATTTATTTTATAATGTAGAAAAGTCAATTATAGCCCTCTAATCTCAGATTTAAATTAAGAGAGAAACTGTATGATGAGATGTCTTGCTGTCGTACCTCTTTTTTCAATCACCACACTGAAGTGTTTAATAGAAGACACTAGCAGATATCGAAATAGATCAGCTAAACTGAATGTATGCGAAAAAACAATTGATCTTAACAACAAAGTAACATTCTAGATATTTATTCAGCTTTCGAATTACTAAGTTAATATGGTTCTATTGGCGATATTTATATTTTATGCAAATGATTGAGTGTTATTCTCTACTTCTATATTCCGAGATCGAATATGAACAAAGATCAACGATTGTTTATGAAAAAAATGGAGATATATGACTATCTAGTAGCGAATTATTTAATAAATAATATTGTAGTTTTATTTATTTTGCATTATTGTGCTTTTTTTTCAGGTTGCCGTCGTTGAGCATGAAAGCTACTGCGTATTTTTATTTATTATGACTTTTAATTAAATGAGCAATAATTAATTTTAGCAATAATAACACCGACCGAGCACTAAATTTATTGACTGAATAATTATTTTAGTAAGTGGGCAATACTTTATTTAGATCGAGAGTAAATTTTATATAACAAGGGCAATATCGATTCATTTATACAAACATGTACTGTTTCAATTTTGTAAAATAGGATGGGTGTGGGTGTGAGTCTTGTATTTAAATCTCATTTACACACACACCCATAACATGGCTTAATTAACTCATCATCAGAATGTGATTTCAATAGTTTAGAAATTCAAGTTTTTGCATATGGTCGTAATATGACAGGCTTATATCTATATAAAATCAGGTAATTAATCTATATTTGAATTACTTTTAGAATGTATTAAAATTATAGAATTCGATTTATCAATATTGATGGGTAAAACTATAAAACCAAGAATAGATCTTAGTGAAATTTATAATTGTTGTCTCTTGCGACAGGATCGATCAATAACAAATAATGAAATAGATTGAATTAAAATATCCCATAAAAAAATCTTTTATTTATATACATATATGTAGTATTTAACTATTGAACTTTGTCTGTGTTATTTATTATCAATAAAATTTGAAATTAATGATATACAAAATGATGAAGAGTAAAATAATTTTTTTTGTAATCTCATTTATTTATATTTCAATCGTATTTGTTATCAAATTGATAATCATCTATGAGAAGAAATTACATTTGATAATAGTAAAGTAAAATCAATGAAATCTTCGTTGATAACAATAATACAAAATACATTTCCATCAGATTTAAATCAATTAATTGCTGATATTTGAACCCAATTACCAACGCATATTCATTATAAAACTACTACTTCAGTTAGTATTTGATTTAACTTATTCCATCTCAGTATGAGGGAAATAGAAATTTTTGAAAGAAATAAGATTTCATCAATCACTTTATTTACTGTTGTTCGACCGTAATCATATTATAACAGAGTAAAATAATTGAGCGAAAGATTGACAAAATGATATTCTCTCATTTAACTTCTCAACAATCCTAGTTTTTCTTTGTATCTAATCATATACATATAGAATTACAAAGATTAATGAAAAACGAAATTGAATTCGTATTTTGTTTATTTTTCTACATAGAATAAACACCTTTGTTTACCTATTGATTGGCAATATTCTTCCAACGACAAAATTCAAAATCATCTCAGTGATCTTGTACAATCACCTTGTACATTTATGTGTTTAACAAATTATTATAAAATATTACAATTAGAATTTTTAGTTCCAACATTAAATGGTATTCGATTTTTAAATTCAAATAAAATTATATTTAATGATGTAAGAATGTTGAATATAAATATCTTAGTTTTTAGATTGAACAAGGAAAATATGTGATGGCTGAACGTATTGTAATCTTTTCTCAAGGAAATAATTCCGATGTGCTTGTTGTTGATAATATAACATGGAAAAGAATTACTTTAACATTTTAAAATTACTAATAAAAATAAATGAGTGAAAATAATGTCTTGTTCTTTTCATTGTGTATTTTTTATAATCTATTTCTACTCATGTTAGTCAAGAGAAATTTTTTTGCATTTTATAACAGTAGAAATATTGAGTGACTTTAGATCGACAGTTGGTTTAGAAAGATTTTTGAAATTAATAGTGATATATGTTCATTCTTGTACTTTGAAATATAAAAATAGTCTTTATATAGTTAGTTCATTGGCAGAGTTCTATCAATTGTCAAAAATCGATTAAATCTATATAAAATTCAACTGGTTGAAAATACTATTTTATTTTGCTGTCCACGAATGTTAGATGCTTTTGTTTATAATAAGAGAACTTATAGCAATGCTTCTTGATACAATTTATAATCATTTGATGATAAATAATTGTGATACATGTGATTCTCATAAAAAGAATTGGACTAGAAACTATTTAAAATTGTATTTTAGATATTTACTATCAAGTACAGTTGGCTTTAGTATTCTTTATTTATTTATTATTATTCACAAGTAATCGATTGGAATTCCTGAGAATGATATAATTAATATTAATATTTTGCCATTATTTGTTGTCATTATAACTTAGTACAATGACTTCTATGGTTCTTTTCTGACATATCAAGTAAATATCGTTAATATTATTCATTTAAAACATATGTAACAGTCAGAAAGATAAATATAAATAAATGCTTGCTATTTTAAATCAATCCAAAAAAGCATTGAAGAAGATACTCATTTGTATGGTTTTGTCATTTTGTACATAGTGTAAATATATTTATTTTAAAACACAAATATTGTCAACTATCATACCGAAGATTGTCAGAAACACTGATAAAAATAACTTTCGTAGTAAATGTATATTCTAATCTTATTGATTTTGATGAAAATATACGTTCGAAGATATTTCTTTTGTGAATTAAAGTACTGAAGATGACATCACTCAATCAACTATCAGATATATATATTAATAGCCATTGAAACAGTTCTTGTTGTTGAATAGACTTTAAATACTATATTATCATTGTTGCACTAAAAATCTGTGTTAACTGTCATCAATAGTGTCGTAAGTAAACTTGCAGAGAGAACAAAAGATTGTCATAGATCTCATCGTCTCATAAATAAATACATAAATAATATTCTTCCAGAGCATTATTAGCTCACCATCAAAACTGCCAATGCTTGGAGTTTTCCTTAATCCTATATCAAATATATCATGAATCAGAAGTTGAACCAGATACTTTCTAGATCAGTTTTCAAATGAAACTTTAAACAAGTTACTTAGTTTTCGAATAGTTTTTCTGATTTTCTCAAAACTACTATGTCATTCAAAATCAGGTAAAACCAGCATTAGCTTAGCAATTAATATGACATCTACTAACCACCATTCTCTTGATCATATACTAAAAATCATGTTTTCTGTTAGTTCGTTTCAGTTTCATTGATACGCAATAGATGGTAACTATATTCTATCGATGTGAGAACGATTCATGAAGAAAAATACATGATAGAATCACAAAGAACACTTTGAAATTATATTATACATCTCCATCAGTTCAAAGCACAACTTAGACCAGAACCGATATATTGTGATTATTTTATAGTACAAAAAGTAGCACAAGATCTACACTTTATAAACACGGTTTCAAAACGGTCCAACAATATTATTGTTATTCTTAAATCGCCCATGCAATGAAATCCTAATGAGATGATAGTATCTTCATCATTAACATGTACTGTTTTGCCAATCGTCCATTCTTGTGAAGAAGTTCTTTCACATCATTTAGAAGTTTCGCATCGATTCGATTGAGTAAAAGATTAAGAGCGGTGAGTGTCTAGCTTGAAAAAGTGTACATGTGTGTATGAGATAAATGAAGAAAAAATGAGATTTACTGTGTTTGTATCTTAATGAATCAGCAAGATGTTGCGCTCCTTCATCTCCGATTTGATTGTACCGGAGATCAAGTGTGGTGAGTGTCTGTGTGAAAAAGTGTACATGTGTGTATGAGATAAATGTAGAAAAAATGAGGCCTACTGTATTGTTTCTCAATGAACTAGCAAGATGTTGTGCTCCTTCGTCTCCGATTTTATTGACACTGAGATTAAGTATGGTGAGTGTCTGTGTAGAAAAGTATAAATGTGTATATGAGATAGTTGAAGAGAAAATGATATTTACTGTGTTGTTTCTTAATAAATCAGCAAGGTATTGTGCTCCCTTATCGCTGATTTGATTGTGGGTAAGATCAAGTGTGGTAAGTGTCTGTATGAAAAAATGTAAATATTTGTATAAGATAGTTGAGGAGAGAATGAGACCTACTGTATTGTTTCTTAAGGAATCAACCAGATATCGTGCTCCTTCGTCCCCGATTTCATTGCGACTATAGTCAAGCGTGGTAAGTGTCTATGTGAAAAAATGTAAATGTATGTATCAGATAGATGAAGAAAGAAAAGCACTTACAGTATAGTTTGTTAATGAATCAGCAAGATGTTGTGCTCCTTCGTCCCCGATTTGATTGTCACGAGGATAAAGTATGGTAAGTGTCTGTGTGAAATAGTGTAAATGTGTGCATGAGATAGTTGAAGAAGAAATGATATTTACTGTGTTGTTTCTTAACGAATCAGCAAGATGTTGTGCACCCACGCCTTCGATTAGATTGTTGTGGAAATTAAGTGTGGTAAGTGTCTGAGTGAAAAAATGTAAATGTTCGTATGATATAGTTGAAGAAAAAATGATATTTACTGTGTTGTTTCTTAATAAATCAGCCAGATGTCGTGCACCCATCTCTTCGACTCGATTGCCACCGAAAATAACTGTGGTGAGTGTCTGTGTGAAAAAGTGTAAATGTTTGTATGAGATAGTTGAACAGAAAAAAGGATTTACAGTGTTGTTACTTAATGAGTCAACAAGATGCTGTGCTTTCTTCTCTCTGATTCGATTGTCAGAAAGATCAAGTAAGATGAGTGTCTGTGCGAAAAAATGTAAACGTTTGTATGATGTAGTATCAGAAAGAATGAGACCTACTTTGTTGTTTTTTAATGAATCAGCCAAGTCTCGTGCTTCCTTCTCTGCGATTCGATTGCCACAGAGATCAGGTAAGATGAGTGTCTATTTGAAAAAGTGTAAATGTTTGTATGAAATAGTTGAACAGAGAATGAAATTTACTGTGTTGTTTCGTAATAAATCAGCAAGATGTTGTGCTCCTTCGTCTCTGATTTGACTCTTGTAGAGACGAAGCGTAGTGATTGCCTATGTGAAGAAGACATAGGATAACTTAGTCAGGATTCGAATATTTTCTGAAAGGATTTTCTTATGCATTATAAACCAAGTTTGAGCAAGAGTTCATCGAGATAGAACTCCACGAGCTCTATCGAATGGCCGATTTAGTTTTTTGATTTGACCGTTCTTTCACGGACAAAAACCTCAAAAGGATATGGTTGTGTATGTCGTTGTGATTACTCTTCGAACGAGATCTTCATCCACATCTTCAGTATCTAGCTAACAGAAGGATTAATTTATTTTAATTGAATTTTGGATGAAAGTAGACGAAAGTCGTTGATGCTATGTCAGAAACTCATTCGAAACACTAGAATACTGTAATATATGTACTGTTTTAAAAGACGAACGTTCCCTTTGACTCTATGTTTTTATTCTTCTCTGATGGTCCGAGAAGAAGCATATTGCAGTTGTATCGAAATAATTATTTGAAAAAAAATAGAGAGAAGCAATGGTTGTTTTTTAAAAGATTACACAGTATTATGACTCATTGGCTATCTCCGAATGAATTCATGGACTGATATTTGATTAGGCTTATGGGTCGTCCGAATGATAATTATGCATTGAAACTATATATGAGACTTACCTGGTATCGCGGATAAGTTTTAAGGATTTGATTGAATCGTTGGCAGACATTTTGCATAGACCAGAACAAAGTAAAATCGGTCACATAGTCCAAAATTCGATAAACGAGCTCTACTGGTAATGCAAGAAATGTGCACATACTTTTGTTAGATTTTGATGAATAATGTTAGAATATGTTATGTGATATTGCTTTTGTATGTTTTAACAATAGCGTTTGGAGAGAGAATGATGTAATTATCTCATCGATAAAAGAATTGATTAGTGGTAATTTCAATAACGAATTGTTAGTTTTGTTCAAAAAGATGGTGTTAATGTATATGTTTAGTAGATTTTCGTAAGAAGATTATATATAATGTGAATGAGTATTTTTTTAGTCTTCTTTGTATGATCAAGAGTGTCTAAAAAAGAACAGATAGTTAACTTTCTCAACAATATTTTTTGAATTTGACTAAAGAATGTTGATGGTGTAGGTAGATGTGTATTGTTCTTATCACACCCACATCTTATAGATCATAAACAATCCAGATTGGTTTCACCTATTGACTCAAGTAAGTGTATGGCTGAACTTAACATTTTGACCTGTTGTCAGACGAAAACGGTCAAGAAAGAAAGAAAGTGAAAATAGAAACAAAGGACGGTGAAACTATAGGAAGTGACCGATGTGTATGCACGGCGGGCATGTTCGGCCAAGAATATGTAAAAGATCATGATGAATGAAATCCATCATATATCTGTCAATGTTCCTGTCTTCAGATTCGCACTCACATTCTGCATTCTCTGCTCAAAAACTTGATTTTCTACTCAAAATTCAGAAAAAACATCACTGACTCAAAAAAATGAGACGTGTCCAGTATACATTCAAAGTATTCAGTCTCTTATTGGAACCTCTCCTAATCTTTTTTATGCACTACATTGTAACACAAAAGTTTATGTGAATGGCTGCGACGAACATTTCGATCATGTTACTATTTATAAGTATGATTTAAGGAGCTTTTGATTACGTAAATAACTAACTCAGACAACTCTAATATATACCAATCTATTTATTGAGGGTGGTGTGTGAGGGTGTGGGTGGTTGAGCTGTACTTATTATGTATACCAACATGGATATCCATATCACACATACTCATGATTAATAATTGAAAAAAGACAAGGATGAAAATATTGAATGTATCATTCTTTATTTTTAGTCTTGGTTATTAAACGAAAATCTAGCGAAAAAAGAAAATAAACTAAAATAGAAGATAAGTTTGAGGATATTTGGCAATCATTAAAGATTCTTGATATGCAATTGAATATTTTACATTTATTGCTTGACAAAGCTACAAAATAAATAATTTTAAATATAAAGTAATGAACAAACTACTTTACTTCAAATAATTTATTATCATATTGTTGTTGTTGTGATGAAGATTTTTCTTCAAATTGTTTTAAAAGTAATTTCCAAACACGACCATAAGATTTTTTCATTAGATTATATTTTATAATAAAAATTAGTTAGTTTTTCATTATTAATATCAATATGTTTTTGTAAAGTTTTAACAATATTTGTTAAATATGTTGACGTTTCATTAATAATTAGTGATAAATCATATAATAACATACCTAATGATGTATATATACATATATCAACAAACCAATTTCGATATTTTTCTATATCTTTAAAAGAAAACTGACTCTTTTATTTGTTTTTTTCTTTATTATTATTGATTCATTCATTTTAATGAGTTAGTTTTCATTATCAGTCGATAATGAATTTTTTCATCACAAAATTTTAAAATAAGATCTTCAGTGTGTGGGTGTGGCTGTGACTGTCTCTCCTGCATTCACATCCATATCCACGTAAAAATAAGAGAAGCTGGATGCCAGTATTTTGCTTAACTCATCAATATTCATATCCTCATTCTTATTATGTCGTATATCTGATATAATTATAGATTTTGTTTTAGATTATCTGTTGTAGTTGTTATCTACAGATATATTCATCTATGTCATTCATGAATTTACCTCAAAGTCTTTTTGTAGATGAAATGTTTCAATGATAACTTATTCTGAATCCGATGAATGCTATCAAAACAATTGAATATAATGAGTGCCTACACTGCAAAAACGAAGAGAACATCTGAAAGGATAACTAAAATTATCGTATCAATTGTAACTTTTCTTAATTTTGATAAATTAATCTACAACAGTAAAAAAACAAAGATATTTATTTTTATTTGAAATTAAATATTAAAGTGTGTGATAATTCAGTAAAAATAAGGAAGGAAACAGTTAGTGGACATCATAAAATGAGAATTTTTCTAACTAAAGTTTTGTTTAGAACTTGAATTACTTGTAAGAAAAAGAGTAAGACAACTAAAAGTTAACTTGTTCGAAATAATTAATATAATTCTGCACTACTGTAAATAACGTTATTATCAAGTCCACCGGTAACTAGCACTAGTCCATTTGATAATACTGACGCTGTGTGCCAAACTCGTGCATTTGTCATGTTACTAGTAGTTGTCCAGGTACTTATTAATGGATCATATAGCTCAGCACTATTTAAATAATTATTAGAACCATTGCTTTCACCACCGGTAACTAACACTTTTCCGTTTAATAATACAGATGCTGTGTGAACAAATCGTGCATTAGTCATGTTACTAGTAGTTGTCCAAACACTTGTTGATGGATCATACAGTTCGGCACTATTTAAAATAATATTAGTAATGCCATTTCCACCAGTAACTAATACCTTTCCATTTGATAATACAGATGCTGTGTGATCAGATCGTGCATCATTCATGTTACCTGTAGTTGTCCAAGTACCTGTTGATGGATCATACAGTTCGGCACTATTTAAAATAATATTACCGATGCCATTTCCACCAGTAACTAATACCTTTCCATTTGATAATACAGATGCTGTGTGGAGTTGTCGTACATTAGTCATATTACTAGTAGTTGTCCAAATACCTGTTGATGGATCATATAACTCAGCACTATTAAAAGTATTATTGCTATCGGTTCTACCAGTAACTAATACCTTTCCATTTGATAATACAGATGCTGTGTGAGCATATCGTGCATTAGTCATGTTACTGGCACTTATCCAAGTACCTGTTGATGGATCATAAAGTTCAGCACTATTTAAAGTACCACTATTACCAACTCCACCAGTAACTAATACCTTCCCATTTGATAATACAGATGCTGTATGATAATATCGTGCATTAGTCATGTTACCAGTAGTTGTCCAAGTACCTGTTGATAGATCATATAGCTCAGCACTATTTAAAAAACCAACAATAATATTCATTCCACCAGTAACTAATATTTTTCCATTTGATAATACAGATTCTGTGTGGCCATATCGTGTATCACCCATAGTGCCAGTAGGAAACCATCCTAGAAGTTACATTTTTATGTATTTAAACTATACAACATTACATCACAAAACAATCAACATTCATCACTCTTCCGCACAGTAATTTTCATTATTCTAGGAACGATAGTCTTCGATATGTCTGTTTTTTATCACCTCAAACTTATGTAGACTGAGAATAGTAATCAAATGTATTCCACCAAATCTCTTCATATATCATTATAACATCTTCAGTTTTTTATATTTTCTATTTTCTCTCTTATATCAATCAAACATATAAAAGATGTTTATCACAACGTGGCCACTGTGCTAATTACATTTTGAACTCCTCGTCAACTCTTCCATAGTTCTCTGGATATCACAATCGAAATAGGGAATTATTCACAACATATCTTTCTACTATCATCAATTTATAGGTATGAAAAGACCTATATAACATTCACCATCGGAACTGATATAAACTATGAACTAGCAAAAAAATGAGTAATTAATCTCAAAGTTTCTGATAATTCAATATCAAATCACTACTGGTTCTTTATTAAGTTACACAAATTCTATTTTTTAGTTATTTTCTACTCTATTCTCAGTGATATTTCATATCTATAATCGATATAACAACAATTTTTCATCAATCCACTATTCACATCTTCTTATGTGATGAACACTATCATAGAAAAAAAGTTTTACAAATAGTTCAGATATAATATGAAAGATTAACCTAAATAAAAAGATGGTATTTCATATCTGATTTGTAGTTTACTCGATCTTCTCGTCAATCAAAACAATATAGATTAGATAACTGCTGATCACAGAACAGTAATCTTAGATTCCATATCAAAACTGATTTAGTTTCACACATACCCTGCTCCGTAATTTCATCTCAGATGATTCATCTATTTTACAATAAGTGCAATATTGATGGTCAACAATGTCTCTTAAACTACGCTTGACATAAGTATAAATTAATATTACTAGAATAACAATAGTAACAGAAAAGTAGAAATAAATAGGAATATGAAACTCAGTAAAATATAAATTTGAGTTGAGATGATCTATAATAGCAATTTGCATACTTCAATCTATTCATTCATATTATTTTGTTATTTAATGCAACAAATGTAGACACAAGTTTATTTCATATACTAAATTTTTCAGCTCAGATATAAAAAACAAATAACATTCAATGATTATGAAACTGCAAACCCTTATTTTATCAACTAAATGGTATATAAAATTGTATTAGTGCATCATTTAATAACTAATCGGAAAACTTCAACATACTTCAGTTCTTCATCTTTCTTGTTAATTAACAATCAATATCACAAATCAATCTTAGTCTATCTATTACATTAGTTCTCACTAAAAGAAAAATATTACTCGACAGAGGTTTTATACAAATGAATGATACTTTATCTATAACTACGACTAGAATGAATTGTTCTAGTTGAGTATGATGATCTCTCAAATGTAAATAATATATATTCGTACCTGTTTTACACATTTGTGTTGCAAAGAATGGTAAACATACTGCTTGTGGTGAACAACATGAATTAATAACGCACACTGAATTATTTGATGAACATGCTTGTGTAACATTATCACATGTTTCTAATATTGAACATAAAATACCAGGTGCACAATAACTAATATTATTTATTGTTCGATAATCATAACAAGGTGTGGATGATGAAAGACAATTATTATTATCATTCAAACTTGTATTACATTGTTGTAATGCACAATTTGATGTTGGATTCGAAGCTGAATGAGCTGATGAAGATAATGTAAACTGAATAGAAGCATTATTTTCACTACAAGAATAATTAGGTAGTTGTGTAGTTTGTCCTATAGAATTCATTTTATATTATGATAGAGTGAGAGCGAAAAAGAGAATGTAACAAACCTTTTACAGATGAAAGAGATATAATGAAAAACAAGACAATGATAAATCGCATTTTTTGTGTGATGAATGAAAAAATGAAGTAGGCACAACAATGAATGATTTTTCTTTACTCTTTTAGTTGAAAGAGCATAGAACTGTTTCTTTCAAAATTTGTCCGTGTTCTCGAAATAAAAAATAGATTTTTTTTATTCTGTAAACATTTATTATAAAAAAACTTTTTTATACCTATGATTTTCATTCACATGAAAGACTCTTCATTTTTGTTCTTTCATCACAACGAAAATCATGAAATTTCTTCAGTCGAAACTTGAAACATCATCAGCTATACGAAGTTTTTAGCTGCCAAAGGTAAAAGAAAACATCACTTGAATAGATTTATATTTACTTGGTAATTTTCTATAATAATTCAATTATTACACACAACTTTTCGAAAGTAAATAAGAGATTTGGTTATTATTTTAATGTCCTTATTTTTCATGTGACTATATTTTTTGAAAAACATTATTCTTGCATAGAGTAAAAAATTCTGAATAAAATTGTCAAATATGTAAATAATTTAGTTTTTTAAGCAATAGAAGTTTCTAAGTAAGGAGTTTAATTCTTGTGTAATGTAGTTATTATCCTTCGCTGGGTCGATGTGGATGTGGATGCAGATGAGTAATGAATACCTCACCCATCCTAGATCCACATCCATTCTTGTTAAACTTAATTGTTGTATATCTTCTAAAAATGTAATATCAATTATACATAAAACAGTTGCTTCTTAAAGTTTTTTGTGCATATTTTCATTATTATCATTGATAGAATATCTTTTAGAATCTTCATATTGAATACTTGATATTTTTAATACAACGTCATGAGTACCTTTGTATAAAGTATGGTTTTTATAATATCGATTTAGTAACTGCCAATATGAAAACTCTAACATGCTCAGTCTGAATCATAACTACTGTAATATGAGGCATAAATAACAAATTTATCCGCTAATTTCATCTTTCGGTATAGGAAAAATATGCAATTAATATAAGGATTTTAGGAAGATTATTGACATAATTTGGTACTGAGTGAGAGATGAATTATAACCAGAGTCTGTTCGTTGGTGATAAAACTAAAAAGTAGTTAAAGACGACTAAGATTTCTCTCTATAACAATCCATCTGTTAAATAGATGATTTTATAATGCTGTTTTTTCATGAGATTTCTGCCTGTTCATCAAACAGTGAAATGAGAAAAGTAAAAATTTCATATAAATTCAGTTATTTATTTTGATAATATGCGTTACTGAAGTATTAAAATCAATTTCTGCTTCGAACAATTGACGCTATTAATACTTAACTATGTATGGATATATATATATAAAACATCAAAGATTATATGACTAGAAGACGTGAATTATATGAAATATTTAATAAAACATTTTTCCAGCTATAAATTAAAAATATTTATAATTTCTTTCTTTTCAAAATTCTTTCTTAAATTTATCAAATGAGAAAAAAATAAATGTGACATATTAGTATTTTTCTTTTTATTATTGGTAATGAAATCGAATTAATCCGCAGATCATTAATTCGATGTAAATTACAACATTTATTGTTATATCTATCATATGCTGTTATAAAATTTTATAAATAGATACTAAACTAAATCTACTATGGAATGAATTTTTCTCGATCTCATGAATATCAATATTACTTATAGATTATATTTTTTTGCTTTGAAAATAAAAATTTCATTAGACAGACTTTAAGTTGACAAAAACATCTCTTTTTCTGTATGACTCAATTAAAACCTTCTGGATACTTTTTTACTTCTCTATTTATTCGATACATTAACATTTGCTCTTTTATTAACAAATAAAACTCCATACGTCTTTCTTGCGTCATACATAAAATACTAGAATATGCTGATTTCTAAAGACAAACCAGTCGGAGTTATGAAGCACTTTTCAATAGCTCTAATCTACTATCATAGTAAGAGCATCCAAAGATTGCGTGACAGATTAAGCAATAGTAGTCTACTCTATTAAGTATATAATAATTTTTCGAGATATGTTTTTCTTCAATTCATTTATTCGATAATGAAAGATAAGTATATATCATTAATGCTTTGTTGAATATATGTATTGAAATCATTCAATAAAGTATTTGAAAATAAAGAATGACTGTTGATTATCTCAAGAAGGAAGGAAAAAACGATCATTCTTGAAAATTAATTGAGAACATCAAATACATCAATACGATTTGGACGAATTTCGCCAACGAACAATGCAGGACCACCTACACTTAAAGCTATATGATGTGGTTCACCAAATTTCTAAACAAATACGAACTTCATTTGGTTCCCAAGTAGCAATCAAATCACCAAACGATTCTGGATGAGCATCAAATGTAAAACCAACTGCTCGATTTTTTTTATTTCTACCACTAACTGCATAAAGACGATCTATTGAAAAAATCATTTATTATTATCAAACATTTTTTGAAATAAAATCCTACGTTTATTTGCATCATAAGTAATAGCATAAACTGTTTTCATTTGTTTCTCCATCATCAAAACAAACAATTCTATTATAGAAATAAAAAATTCTTTTTTCGATATTCAATAAGAATAATACTATGCGGAATTGAAACTTGTTTTTCTTCATCAGGCATTGTATATTCTTTTACAAATTTTCCTTTTAAATCAAGTTTAACAATACGGGAATTACAATATCCATCAGCAACATCAGTTGGTTTACAAAAATGTGTTGAATCACTGCCAGGTACAAATACTTCACCTAATGTTAATAAAATTTTAAGAAAAATAAAAGAATAATTTAATGCATTGCAGCATCGGTTACCCAAAGATTTCCTACTGTATCAATAGAAAGACCATGAGGCATGTAAAATCTGTAATATATATTATTGTATTCATTCTCCATTGATTAACGATTTGACCAGTACGAGTATTGATAGTAAGAATTGTATTTTTCAGAATGGCATCAAATTTTTTTGTATCGAAACTGTGACCATCAGGAAATGATCTTTAAAATACTATTCAAAAATTATTTGAAAAATAAAGACAAAAAGTAAACTTCACATCAAAAGTAACGATGTAGTCGAACTTATCATATATAAAGTTTTTTCTCTTCTCTTTGATGCTAATTGATACAACGCGACATCATTTTGATCGTATGATTTTTGAATACGTTCAAATAAGAAATTTATATAACAGAACAGAAAAGAAACAAACTCAGCGTTTGTTCTTTAATTAGGCATGTATCAATAATTGAAACAAACCGTTATCACTAATTGCTTTCAACTCTCTATCTATGTATATATATATATATATTGATACTTGTTATACTCAAACATTATTCAATATTACAAATCATGTCATTTCCTCTTGATTCATCATATGGTTATTCTTCAGGTGATGATTCTTTTTCTTATATTTCAGATCCATATTATTGTCCTGTTCACAATCCTGTTCCACAACCGCCTTCTGTTGGCTATTGTACTTTTCAACAACCATATCCATATTATTATCCAGTTACAATACCTCAACAACAAGTAAGTAGTCCAATATATTCTTCTTCTGTATTTCAGGTTCGTCCAGAAAAAACTCGTCGTTTTTCTCCGGAACAAATTCAAATTCTTGAAGAACATTTTTATAAAGTAGATAAGTATGTATCAAAAACAACAATCGATGATCTTTCAACTCGAACTCAATTAACGCCAGCTCAAATTCGTGTTTGGTTTAATAATAAACGTACAAGAGAACGTCAATAATTCATTTTTTTTTGTATCAACTTTTTTTTCTTTTAATTAAAATAAAATAAAATAAAATAACTTACTCTTGATTTCATTCTCTTAATGTTCGATGAAAAACAATTAATCGATTAGGATTTTTAACACAATCAGCAAGACCATGAAGTTTACGTTCATGTTGAGCATCTTCATCTGATGATATAATATTTAATGGTTTATTTGCAATGACTGGATAAGTTAATAAATTATACAAAGACGAAATATTAATGAAAAAAACTTTGCACGAACAATCCATCAAATTAATCAAGAAGATAAAATAAACTAGATTAGTTTCTATCATGATGGGTTTAAGTGACAAAAAATGATAATCGAAATGTATATGCATATAGTATCTCATATATTAATGATCACATAATATTCAGCCGTATATAACCATATAAGGAAATCACCATGTGTTAATTAAAGTTTTTTAAAATTATGTATCTCCCGCACGGAACTGAGTTTCAAAAAACGGATTTCAGATTTGCACTGGGCACGTTCTTGCGAACATGACAATCTTTTTCCGATAAAGAACGATGCTTACATGCTAAGAACGATTGGCTGACTTGGATCGTGACTTAAGTCATTCTTATTCGGATAGTAATATTTTATTTGAAATTAGATTTTTCCTAAATTAAAGATCGATGATAATACTAAAGAAAATATTAGTATCCATATTCAATCAGACACTAGGATTTATTGCTCTTTCACTTTTGACATTAGTAGATGATATTGAAGTCGTATTAGTTGTATCGAAAGTATCATAGAAAAGAATATTTGTCGTTCTATATCTAATAATTGATTTTGCTCATCAACTGTGAATAATGTATAGTGAAAGAAGCTATGAAGCATTCTCTTCAACAATATCATATGATTTCTTCATTGAGAATTACAGATGAGAACTCATAACTTATACTGAAATCTATCGTATGAGTACAGAATCTAATTAAACAATAAATTGATAGTTAGCAGTCAAGTTTGAATTAATATCATACTTCCAGTGCAGAGAGATAAAATAGTGAATTTTTATTTTTTCATGTTTCTGATTAATGATCTATATTAAACTTGAAATCGTTTAATCTATGCCACGATGAAGTTTTGTTTCTATATCATTGCAAATGTAAAAGCTATACCATTTTTATCTATTGTTCTGTACTTCTCAATAAAACGTAAGAATTGTATTTTCAAGTAAATGTTTTATAAATAATTGCCACTTTTAGAAGTTTGAAAAATTGTGACACTTTGTTAGAATAATATGATTATTGAGCGACGATGAAATTAGTAGTGATGTTTTCCTATACTGAATAATCTGATTACTGAAAATAGATGTTTGGAAAGCTAATAATAAATGTGATGGTTTTTGATGCAAAATATAAAATAGTTCTTACATAGAATATGATTATCATACTCTTTAATTAGATGATAAAATGCATTTTAAAATAGAAATAAATAAGAATCTCATTGAATCGATGGTTCGAGTGTTGATGTAGGCACAGATTTAAACATATGTAATTCTGGATGTGATAAACAAAACATATTCACCCACACCCATCCTTAAGAAGAGGTCGTATATTTAAGTTTGCTTTCGAAATAAACAATCAATAGAAAGTAAGACATACAGAATTATTACTTTTTACACTTGTATCACAACTGAATTGATCTCACAAAAAAATCGATACAATTAGAAAAGGATCCTGGAGATGAACAACGAAAACATTTGTTCTACATTGAATTTAATAACAAGTAGTGAACACAATGTTCTAAGCTAATTTGAATACTTCAATGTCAGTTGTAGTGAAGTGCTCAGCGCCTGTGAACGTATTGTTACCTTTGTATGTTGTATCATTATATGACCAAGGAAAAATAGTATAGCTAGAGTTGTTGCTCTTACTGTAATCATATACAAACATGTCGGGACCGTAGCCGAATGTAGGTCCCATTGTATTGGCATGACAAACGGCACATGCTGCACGAGCAGGCTTGATATTATATTTTGTAGGTGGAATATTGTGAGGATTTGTTAATGTGAACAAAAATGCTGCTTGATCTTCCCGATACCATCCAGATGAAGTCCATGAAATACTTGTATAACCTCCAAATATATAGTTATTGTTTGATTGAATAATAGTCATTGTTGGTCCTCTGTAATTACAACATGAATGAAATGCACTAGCACCAAATCCATCACGTGTTGCTTTGTATATTAGTTTCCATTTTTGATTAATTTTACCATAAAACTCATTAAGTTTCACTTTATGCTCTAGCCGAAGTAATGTTCCATTTGGAAATCTTTTCTCAATAGCCAAGCGCTCTTTTTCTTGACGTTTTCGATCGGGTTCTGTTAATATGAAAACCAGATTATGTAAACAAAAGTAGTCTGCTTCTATAATAAGACGTCGACGAAGTGTTTCATCAGTCATAACATTATTGTGTATTTTATCTGTTCTTAAATATGATAGAATATATTTAAATAAATGTCCATCACGACCAATGAAGATACTATTATCACTTGAATCTCGTTCAAGTTCCCATCGTCCTGAGAAGAGTGCAGTGAAGAAAGTATCTTTCTTACGTGTTAATGTATGAACACTTGTCGTGTATTTTACACCACGAACATCAAGTATAATTTTGCCTTTAATTGTTGTAATGTCTTGAATTGTATCTAAGTTTGATTTCATTTGCAAGAATTTCTCTTATGTAGATATCGTGTTTCTTGAATGTATTTGTTGTTATCTTATTGCATGCTATTGATAGTCAATTGTAACGTTGTTTGTATTGTTAACTGTATTGTTTTCATTTCTGAAAGCAAATAACACAAATGCTGATGTTTATCCTTTATTCTATCATATATTTAAGGAAACTGAATCAGAAGTGGCTGACCGAGTGAGTGACGTACAATACGTTAGCATAGCTATATTTATAGATGCATGCGAAGAGAACAAAGAGAGAGATAAATGACGGACGGATCAGAATTCGTCACATTTATAAATTAAAAAAATGAGGTAATAATGTATAAACGGTAAATATTTACCTCCACCTCTTCTTCACCGACCCTCCGCTACATTACATTATAGAATGTGACATAAAATAAGACTGAATAAGGGCTTTATCCATACATGTCTGCTCTCTTTCTTTTCTATACAGTCGAATCCGCTTATAAGAGCGCAGTCGGGGAATCGAAAAGTGACTCTTACATCCGGATCGCTTCTTTATGCGAACTATATGTAAAACAGTGCAAAAAATGATTTCTGTCAACATCTATTAAATAGTACACACACATGCATAAATTTACTTAAATAAATCCACTGATCTCTTCATTAGGGCTTTCACGTTTTCGTTTACGACTAAAGTTGCCCGTGTTCATCACTGTTTTTCGGATTTCTTTTTCGTTTTGTCTTATCTTCCTCACCGTAGAATAGCCGATGTTGAAATTTTTAGCCACATCGTCTGTCTTTTTGGATTTTAGTGCTTCCAAGATTTCCAATTTCTGTTCAGTTGATAATGTGCAACGTTTACTGCTGATAGATGCCATTTTTTGAAAAGTAAATATTCAACGAGAAATGAGAAACAATATATAGAACGAAGGTAGAAGGAAAAATCCATGAAATAGAAAATCCCATAGATGATGAATATGAAAGGAAAATCCAACATAGAATCGTATGTAGGAAAAATCCAACATAGAACCACATGAAAGAAAGAAGAACGAAGAAAAGGAAAAGTCTATCACATATATATGGCAAAAAGAAAAAGAAGAAGAATATAAGCGCATATTTATAATCATATAGATAAAAAAGCTCTTCTATGCGAGGCTCTTTCAAGCGGACTTTGCCACAATGTAAAATACATTGCGAGAAAAACGGGGAATTGAAAAACGGCTCTTAAAAGCGTACCGCTCGTTTATACGGTGCTCTTATAAGTGGATTCGCCTGTATATATGTTGTAGGCAAAATTCAAATTTGACTGAATTTGAATTTTGACTAGTCAGAATTGAAATTTCAATTTAGTCTAATATGTTCTCAGTCAAAGTTCAAATTTCAATTTTGACTAGGCGAAATTCAAATTTGACTGGATTTGAATTTTTTCTACAAAATATATATATAATGTTGCGTTCTTTCTAATAAGTGTCCTTTCGAAGTGTTTCTCTTAGTCTCTTTTTATGATTTATATTTAGGTATTTTCCAATTTGATCGTGTTTGTAGTATTCTATATAAGGATGTGTGCTCAAGTTACATCATAACATCAAGTAAACCATATACACATTTACAAATATTGGACGCAACACGTTCTACACTGACAATATGATAAAGACTTTCTTCTTCTCATAAATTTAACAATTGAGAAATGGAATCTTTATATCAGGCTAAAAACCAATAATGTTCATTCAGACAAAAGTTTTTAAAATGTATAATAGAATACAAATTATTTACTGTACTTTAGTTTTATTCCAAAAATAGACATAATCGACTTACTTCGATTGTCTTTATATCAATCGTACACTGATTTAAACGTAGCCTCTCAAAAGAGATACTTTTTAATTAAACAACATACCTATTTAAAATATTCATGATGATTTATACCATAAATATGCACATAATATGTAAACTTTACTAGACATACACCAGTTTCAGCCCTGACTGGTGCATATCAAAGGTTTTTACGTAAAAAGTCGGGAAGAAAAAAAACTTATTCGGAACTGTTCGCATGAGAGATATCATTTGACTAAAAGAATGTTTCATCAGGCCGAGAGTATTCCCTTTTCTTTTTTTTTTGTAGAACTTTATAGTGGATAAGATGAGAACATTTGTCAATTATTGTTAAAATATATTCTTCACCATTTCGAAGAATTAAACCTCAAGTGAAAAAATAATAAAACTAATGTATTGACTTCAATTGGCAAAAAATAAAGATCATTGGATGAAAATCATACAAAAAGAACTGAACTAATGTAATGATTCTCATTTTCATGAAATAATCAAAGTTATGGTATTGTTTGGGGGACAACTAGTCATAATAACCATTTAAATGAAATTTTCTTCATTTTTTTATTCCTTGGGTAGGTTTGAAACTTTCTCGACAATGATTGTAATCAAAAAGCTTAGGTTGATTCTCTCTCAGAGCTACATTCACTTTTTTTCAGTCCACAAGTTTGTCGTTGTTCTTCTCTATGTTTTCTTCCTCTCTTCCTTTTTCAATTAATTGAAATGAACTCTTTTCTCGTCCATAGAAACGATAAATAAATGATAGTGATTGTGCACAATGATCATATATACTATTGATAAAATAAACTTTTTCTCTCCTTCTTTTCTTCTATATTTCTGTTGAGTATCTTTCTTTCTTATCTAACATAATGAAACTCTACTTGTTTGAACATAATAATGTAATCGTGAAGATCCTTTTACAATAAATATCTTTTCAATATGTATTATTTACCTTAGCGGTGAGTGTTACTACCTATATTGTATTCTTAACAAGAACAGAGTTTCAATAGAGACACATTATCTTTTTCATCAGCTTTATTTTACTTCCAAAAATATATACAGAAAGAAATTATAATCTCATGTTTATGCGTTCGAGGTTTTTTCTATATATCTGAAGATCAGGATGATTTACTGGTAATGATTGTTGTGCAATTTGTACAGCACGTTCATAAAATGAATGAGCTTTTGAGTAGTTGCCCATGTCCTCATATACTAAACCCATGTTATTATAGGAACTACACAACTTAGAATGATTGGAAGGAAGTGATTGTTGTCGAATTGCAAGGGCTTTTTCATGAGATGAAAGTGCTTTTAGATAATCACCTATGCTGTTATACACAATACTGATACCCATATAGGATAAAGCCAAATGAGGATGATTGGAAGAAAGTGATTTCTGCCCAATTGTAAGATCTTTCTCATAATAAAAAAGTGCTTTTGAGTAATCACCCATGCTGTAATACACACTACCGATGTTGTTATAAGACATAGCCAAATCAGGATGATTGGAAGGAAGTAATTGTAGTCGAATTACAATGGCTTTTTCATTAGATGAAAGTGCTTTTGGATAATCACCCATCTTGTGATACACACTGCCAATGTTGTTATGGGTGTTAGCCAAATTAAGATGATTGGAAGGAAGTGTTTTTTGATAAATAGCAAGTGATTCTTCATAATTTCTAAGTGCTTCTGGATATTGTCCTTGGTTGAATTTGATCTGACCTAGTTGGTCATAAATAAGTGTCTTACCACTTTCATTCGTTGCTTGATGAAGTAAAACCTCATAAAGTGCTTGAGCCTTGTTAAACTGACCCATTTTGATTAGTAATTGACCTAATTGATCCCATCCCGTCGAATTTGGAAAGGTTTCCTGCGGGACACGATCAGTAAGAGTGCGAAGATCTTGATCGTTATCATTGGCTAGTATTAAATTACTTTATAGAGATGATTGTTTCCATTCAGTAGTTTAATATCTCCAATGCGAAAAATAGTATGCATAGAGAAAAGGACTTCGTCTTCCGTATGAAAATAACTAATATCACTAACACAAGCAAATGGAGTTATTGAGCACGCAGAATTAATTGACATAACAAATAGAATTCCAACAAGATCAGGATCTGTAGCAGCTTGTCGGGCGAAATTAAGAGAAACATCCCGATTTTTATTAGTTGATAAAAAACTATTGAATGAAAGGAGTCTACCTTTAGCTTTTGTCATTTCGGTGAAATCTTCTTTTGAAAGACCTTGTCCACGATAAACTGTAAATGTTGTACCTAATTGATGGTCGTTAAATTGTTCTGAATGTAGTCGTTGAATATCACAATGTAGGTCATTAATAAAAAAACCCATTCGAATAATCATATCAACATCCATTAATCTTAATGCTTGATTCAACATCGAATATAAAAATGCATTCCTTGTATACCACCAAATGGGTATGTTGTTTTTGTATGTTGTTTGTAATTGATTAATATTTTGTAATTCATTTTCGTCATCATCATATATATCACGACAATAATTAATAAATTCTTTCCTATGTTCATCGTCGAAGTTGATGGTTAATAAGATCTCTTTCAAGATCTGAGTATATATAAAGGTTGGATCTAATTGATCCAGCTTCTTGTTTGACGCCACAAAGCTGATTGAGATAGCATTTTGCTCACATTGGTGAGCAGCTTGCTTTATAGCTTCACAGATCGATGTTATATCTGTGAAGACTCCTTTTATTTTAGGCCATTCTTTGACCCATTGTTTATGCCATTCTTGACCGTTACAATAAATAAAAATGGTATCTACTTGGGACATATCATGCACATGAGGCACAATATGTTTCTCAAGTGAATCAGAAACAATCATACATACTTTGTTGTTGTTAATAGTTTTGATAAATTCCGCACATTCTTTACCATCTGTAAATATGTTTACGTTGTTAACTACATGTTTCAATTGTTTGATTGTATTATTACAATCGGCATTACATTCATTAATATTGCTGTTCAACCAAATAAGGAGGACATTTTGCATTCTTTGCATGTTCATACGCTGATTTGCAATTGTATCCTTAGAAAAACTTGATATTTGTTTAGCATTAGCCTGTACATTGGTTTGAACAGATGTTATTGATTTGTTGTTCGCCATTGTTTGTTGTAATATAGACTACTTCACGAAGAAATGTTTATAAATGAATGAGAATAATGTGTTATTTTATATTATAACTATTTTCTTTCGAGATTGTTCTTTTTATCATCATTTACATTATTTTGTCTGTTATCAGTATTTCATTTGGTTTTTTCCTGTTTATTAAATGTGTATCATAGAATGGTACAGATATCATCAGGGATATTTATCAGTTACCAACAAACGAAAAGGATGTTAAAGCATGGTGCTTCTTGACAATTCAGAAAAATAATCTGTGAGAAAAAGTTCTCAAAAAATTTGTCCTTGCAGAAAATCTCTAAAAAGAATTTTATTTTTTTCAGTCATTATTAAAGATTGATGAAAATTTACAATTATTTTTATCTCGAGGCATATGATTACTGTATAATATGACAAGAATACCAGAACAATAATAAAAATTTTAATAAAGATTTTCTATTGGAGAAATGAGGAAGAAGAAACATTTAATTATTATATGCGTTGTGGGTTGTTCTTTTTTATCTTCTTTTTAATTCTATGAGTCAAAGACTGCGCGTATGCATGTTCTATGACTAATATAATCTTATCAGAAATATACACATTTAGGTAAATAAAAAAATCCAGTATTGATATATTGTTAAAATTCACGAAAAAATCTTCCTTTACATGTTATTTGTTTCCATACTAATCAGATGTTTGAAATAAATAAACAAACTATAATGCAATCATTTAATTGATTATTCTCATCTACTTGCCACTGAATAATAATCAAGTGTAAACTTTCGTAAATCGTTATGTCTTAAGTAAGTTACAATCTTTTGTGATAGACAATCACATTTATTTTTACTTATCAGTATCACAAATGATTGTTCGTTATAGAAAAAGCATTAACAAGTATATACATATAGATAAGAAAAATCTGTTGAAGGCATTTTAATATCGGGCAGTTTCGAAAATAAAAAATTGAATTACAATACCTGTATTTATCTACTTTGAAGAAATGAATAAAATACAAAAAAAAACAAGTTGATCCTGTACATCTGAAAATGTTTTTAATAATCAATATGTTTGTGTTATCTTTTAGAAATAGCTTATTTTCAACTGAAATTCATTTCTAAAAACTATCACATATTATATTATGAAACATCTATATAAAAAACTTAACTGTTTATAATTTGTGGAATTATCGGTAAAATATACTTTCAAAATTTTGAATAGCAATAATAAAAATTTAATGTACTTGTATTACATCCTCAAGATAGAAAGATAGTTAGCTTATGTGTATATCTAGTGTCGCTACTCTTATTATCAGTTGTTAGAGGAAAGTAATGCCTAACTTTTAGTTCTGCTCTTCGTTTTAATTATCTCGAAATTTAAAACAGTCAAAATCGTGTTTTCGCGACGTCTCCTGTATCGCATTAAAAATCACTTCATTGAGATATCACAGATGAGTTATAAGACTGACAAATTCCATCTTTTATTCAAGTTTCTCACTTAATAGTAAAAAAATTTTTTTTCTCATCAAATAATTTTTGCTCATGTTCAGAACGAGGTTTTGCAAATGAAACAAACCATTTAATGCGTTGTCTAAAGATTTTATAGAAAATGTGTTATGCCATGTGGTTGATAATTATTTATGTCTAATATAATTATTCAGATTATTTTTATCTTTCAAAGTCATCAATATTTAAAACTATACCATGATTATTGTTTATTTAATCAGTATTATGTTACTTTTATGATTAAAAAAGAAACAATTCTTTCTCCTTCTTCTTCTTCTAGTAGAATCCATTAAATGGAAAACTTTTTTTTCTTCTGGTATCTAAAGTGCATAATTTATTAATTTTTTGCTTTTAATCAACAAAAAAAAAAGAAATGAAAAGAAATGAAAAGAAAGAAAGAAAGAAAAAGGAAAGTGTACGAATCACCACTGAGTGGCTAGACAGGTTGTTTGATTCCAATGAAAATTATTTTCATTGCTTATAGGTAATGTTGATTGATCATCTTCTTTATTATGATTTTCAATTTCATTCAATGTTGTTGTTCCATGTTGAATACTACTAACAAAATCATAATGTTTTTCTACAATACCATTATTTGTTGTTGCTGCTGCTGCTGATGACATGGCTGTTAAATCTGTATAATGTGGTGTATTATTATTACTACTACTCGTAGGTGTATTATTATTATTTAAATTATGTAATAAATTTTCATTTGCTATTGATGATATGGATGATTGATCAATAGTTGGATGTTCAACATCATTTGATGATTGGGTATAATATGATGAATAAAGTTCAGATTCAATAGCTGGTCGAAGTAGACCATATTGTTGTTGATCGCCATAATTATTATTTGAATCATATGAAGAATATGTTTGTTGAGTATCAAAATGATGTGGATGATTGGAGAAATGTATTTGAGAATCGGGATTATAAACATTTGCTGTATCTTGAGAATATGTATTAATATAATGATAATTATTAAATTGTTGTTGAATTGATGGAGGAGGAGGCGGAGGAGGAGGAGGTGGACAGTATTGTTGAAGACTATGATGATGATGATGGTGATGATGATTGTAAGATGCAAGGTGAGGATGATGATGATGAGGTGATAAGAAATTATTATTATCACTCATCATAGGTCCACCACCACCACCACCACCAATTCCTGCAGTATTATATTGTTTTTGTTGATGTTGAATAGATGATTGAATTTGCATAGAATTCGGATCAAATAATAATGTATTTTGTCCAAGAATATGATGCATATTCGGAGTCTACAATGAAATTTCAATAGACAGTTAAGAAAAAAACCAGTAGACATGAAAAAATTTTTACTTGATGTGAAACTTGAACGGCTCGATATGCAGCTAATTGTTTAAGATATTCTTTTTTCGCTGCAGCTGCTTTACGTTTATATTGCTAATTGAATAAAAAAAATCAAATATAAAACTACAAAATAAAATTTCAAATAAATTACTTACTTCTTTTACATCTGGTTCAATATTTTCCCACATATGAGCAACAACTTTTGAGATTTCTCTATACATATAGAATAAAAATATTTTTATTTTGAAGAAAACATTTTTTTTTCGCCTTCATACCCAAATGATGGATTAGCCAATTTCTTTTTGATATCATTCTGTGTATCACGAAAGAAAAGTGCATATGGAGAAACCGGCCTAAGATTTAATTATAATAGATATAAAGATTATTTTCATACACTATTTACTTTTGAGGTTCATTAGGATCTTTACGTTTCTTTTTTGGTTGTTTTTTTTTCTTAACTATTTTAGCAGATACAGTAACATTCTAAAGAAAATATAATATGACGTAATTCATTGAATAGAAACACCTTTTTTTTATATATATTGAAAGACATACCACTCCGCCTCTATTAAGTGATGGTGGAGGTGTTGATGTTTCATCTGCATCACTTGTTGATGATTGTTGCGGTGAAAGAGAAGGATTTTCATGTTGATATTGTAAATGATGATGCATAGGATGTTGATGAATATGATTCGATTGCGTGTATAAGTCTAAATAGAATAGACAAGAAAAAATATTTTAGTTGCTAATTAAAATTTGTATTGAATTATCGATAGAAAAATCTACGATAATCTTAAAAAACACGCTAACATATAACAGATCTTAGGTTGAGAACTGAAAATTTTATACGCAATTAATATGAAAAACATCTACTAGTTTAAATATGAGACAATGTAAAATATATAATTTACCTGTATCATGTTGAGGTATTGAATTATCATTTGCATATATATGTTGCATTCTATTCCAAAAAGTTCGATTTGCTGCGTCTTTATCAGAAGAAATCAACGATTGTTGTATAGAATTTGGTGAACGTCTCTTTTGATGAACGATCTAGGTATGAAGTAAAAGAAAAATGAAGAATGAATGACAAAAGAATTTCTTTTTCTTTTTCATCATATTGATTGCTTACAAGTTAAAGCAATCATTAACCACCTGTTATTCAGACTCTTACTCTCAATTACAGCTAATTTCATTATTTAAAAGACTTTCATATAACCGCCCTTCGATAAAATGAACAACGATTATCACGTCAGGGAGTCTATACGATCAATAAGACACGCACAAAAATGAAGATCTTTTCTTTTTCTTGTTTGAAATTGATGATAGTGAATTCTTACGTAAAAAATGTAAAATAAATCGGTTGAGACATATATAAAAAAAGAAGAAAAAAGAAAACGATGAGTCTCCTCTTATTACCGTAAGAAATGTTCACTCAACGAAGACGACGACGATAAGGAGGGGAAAGGGTCATTTTTTTTCTTTTTTCTCGGCTATGCTTCAATGAACATTTAATATGACCAGATCGAAAAACAAAGATACTCATGTGAGACGATAGAAAAGAAAAAAAACTCAATAGATGTGTTATTGTTGTTAAATAATCAATTAAATTTATAAATGAAAAAAGTAGGTGAAAGAGGGTCAAGAAAGATTTCATAATACATTAGTTATTACGCAAAAAAAGGAAAGTTGTTCGTTAAAAAAAAAGAAGAAGTTCTTATTTACCATGTTAACGTTTGTCAATCATATGAACAAAATGACAAATCAATCATCATTCAATAGAATATTCACACATTGGCTAATCTTCTTCTTTTTCTTTTCTTTTCTTTTTCCATACTAACAACACTTATCGGAAAATTTTCTATATCACCAATCAGAATATATGAAGAAAGAGAAAAATATAGAATTGATATTGATTGGTTAAGAATTCTATTCCAGACAGAAGAGAAAAAAAGAAATACTCGGAATAAACTTCTTTTTTTTGTGACGGAATAAATAAAGTGATATACATTTCCATATATAATAATACTTTCTATCAGAATATAAAACAGCTATTGTTTTTTAAGCAAATCTTGCTAAAAGTTTTTAACTAAAATGAAACGTTTTTGAATTACTATTTCTTAATGAAACTATTTATCTCGTTCAAACCGACAGCGTATATTGAAGAGATAATAATTGCGTTACTTTTTGATCTCACAAAGAAACAAACATATCTTCCCTATTGTTAATATCTATATTTTTGTTAGAAAATTTAATATTATAATAATCTTCAATAAACTACTGTATATTCTTTCATAGATATTGATCACGTGATGCTAGATTTTTCTTATCTGTTTAATATATATAAATGTTGTTTTCTATTGACATCTTTCTCATTACTTTTAGTTGCCTACATGCCAGATCTTTAATGATTAAAACAACTGAATGTATATATAATTGATCTCAATCTTCTGACAGATACAATTTATGCTAGTTCATTATCAACTGTTCCGCCCATATTTAGAATAATTCTCATCTATACATATATACACACACATGTAATTTCCCTATTCAATTATCAGACAAGCAAATCAAGAAAGTGTAAACAGTGTTGATAATTCGTTATTCGATGTTAACTAAGCGAACATAACATATAGAATGGAATGAAAGTATTGTTCTTGTTAGAAGAGACGTTTATTCATTCGATTCGTTAAATGTAATGACATCTTCACATTAAAATTTTTATTTCTTATACAAAAATCGAATAAATCAAATCAAACGGAATTAATTGTATGTGAGTGCCATCATCGATCTTTCTATTTGTTTGTTCGAACATGCATAAATACATATCTTTACTTATCCGATGAACAATATTAGACAATTGAATAATATTTTTTTTTCGTCAAAACGACTTAACACGCAAATCAAAAGTCAATAAAACAAAGCTAAAGTCGATGAATCTCTAAGAAAACAATCATAACTAATTCATGCGCCCACCTATGCTTGTTTTCTTGAATAAACAAATCAATCTATGAATATACTTACTGTTGATCATAATATTTCGAAAAATTTTGAACTTTCTCTATACTTATCAAATGAATATACGTCTATGTGACATTTTCAAAAGCTCAAATTCAGTCTTTTTTTTTTTCTTCGTTTGTACTTGTTACCATATGCTATTGCTCTCAATTTAATGACAATATGATCTCAATTCAAGTCATATGAATACATACGAGTTGATGACGTTCACAATAATAGAAATATTACAGATCAGTTGGAAGATCTATGCTCAATTTTAATGTGATAAATTATCTATAATAACAAATTATTGTTTTACTGTTATCTTCTAAGAAATCTGAAAAAATTTCTCGAGTATTTCATTGCATATAAGATAGAATTTTAAAACGAAAATCTGATTAGATTCCTTATCTGATAACAGATACATATATAATATAGAGAATATGATCTATGAATACTAGCGACACCAGACGAGAACTAATATGCTTGGCTATATTATAGTATGTTTATTGAGTATTATCTGGCAAATCCTAATACACAATCGATTATTGTCAATAACAGATTATTCTAGTCGAAGTAAATTTAATCTCAATGGCTCATGATACAAAAGATGTTGATTGTCGAACAATGACAAGTTTAACAGCTAGTCAAAAACATGCTCATGGTTTATGCGATGGTTTTCCAACAATTCTATTCTATGCGCGTGAAATGCAACAATTAGCTCATGAAATTCGAACATGTAGTCGAGATCATCCTATTGAATTAGGTGATATTGATTGGAAAGAATTTCCTGATACATGGCCGAATATATTTATTCGTAAATCTGAACAAATTCGTCATAGTCATGTTCTATTTTTAGCTTCACTTCATAATCCACAAACAATTTTTGAACAAATCTCTCTTCTTTATCATCTTCCAAAATATCTTTGTCGATCATTAAAAGTTCTTTTACCGTATTTTCCAACAGGTACAATGGAACGTATACAAATTCAAGGTGAAATAGCTACAGCTTATTCATTAGCACAAATGCTTTCAGCAATACCATTAACACGTACAGGTCCATGTGAAGTTGTTATATTCGATATTCATGCATTACAAAATCAATTTTATTTTTCATCAAATGTTATTGTACGTCTTGAATCAACGGTTGATTTATTATTAAATGAATTAAAAAATCAAAATAATCATAATGAAAAATATGCTATTGCATTTCCAGATGATGGAGCACATAAAAGATTTGGTCATATGTTTGATGAAAAAATTAATCCAATATTAATTTGTAGTAAAATTCGAGACGGTGATCAACGTAAAACAACAATTAAAGAAGGTTTGAGAAATAGACTTTTTCTATAATATGGAAAATTATTTCGTTTATTTTTAGGTAATCCAAAAGGTTATCATTGTATGATTGTTGATGATTTAGTACAATCAGGTGGTACACTTACTGAATGTGCACAAGCACTATTACAAAATGGCGCTACTGATGTATCAGCTTTTGTTGGTCATGGAATATTTCCGAACGATAGTTGGAAAAAATTTCTTCATTCAGAAAATCCTAAAGTTCGTTTTCATACATTTTATGTTACAAATACTTACCCCAATACTCAAGTGTTAATTAATAAACCTCCATTTAAAGTATTATCTATTGCCCAACTTTTATGTAATATTTGTTTTACTTGAATAATGATAGATTTTTAAATATATATATAAAATGTAAAAGTTCTTCTTCTTAAAAATCTGATATATTTTAAAATGATTTTAATGTAAAAAAAACGAACGAATAGAAAGAAAACAATATGTTGAAGTCTAAGTTATTTAGCATAAAATTTTATGAATACGTTGTAAAGGTCCAACTGGTGTTGAACTAATATGAAGTGCTGTATTAAGATCATCTAAAAATTTTGGATAACGTTTCGATGTATCGTCATTTGCATATAAAATAGCCCATGGTTCATTTGTTTTTATTTCATCACCAACATGTTTCAATAAATGAATACCAATCGAATAATCAATTTTGTCTGTTGATTTTAATCGACCACCACCTAAAATAAAATAAAGATTTAGTCTTTTTTTTCTTCTATTGAATAAAAATGTTTAACATACCGAGACGTTGAACAATTGTACCGAGTTTAAATGAATCAATAGATTGAATAAAACCTGTTTGTAATGCTATAGCTCGATGTTGTACATGAGCAAGTTTTAAAATTGATCGAACTGCTGTTTCATCATCACTGATTAATTGTGCAGCAATTGTCTTAGACACACCTTGACCAATGATCATATCATGAAATTTTTTTAAAGCACTACCATTTTTAAATGTTTCACGAATCATTTCTCGACCTTGTTCAATTGTTTCAGCTTTATTTACAAGTACAAGAAGTCGACCACCTATATATCAAAATTAAATGTATTATTTTATTAATATTTTATAAGCAAAAATTTACCTTGTTCACATACTAATTGTTCGAGATCAGTTGAATGACCTGGTTTGTATTTCATAAGATCTATAGATTCTTGTATTTCAATTGCATTACCAATAGAAAATCCAATAGGATTATTCATTTCCGTAATATAACAACATGTTCTCATTCCAAGCATTTCCGATACTTTAAATAACCATGCAGCTAAAACTTCAGCTTGTTCAGCTGTTTTCATAAATGCTGATGAACCATATTTAACATCAAGAACAAGTGCATCAAGATCTTCAATAGATTTTTTTGATAAAATTGATGATACGATGAGTGCATTATTTGGTACAGTTGCTGTTACATCACGAATAGCATATAAATAACGATCAGCTGGATTAAGTTTAAGTGATTGAGAAAAAATACCACAACCAATTGTTGTTATTTGTTCAACAATTTGTTCATCTGTTAATTGTGTTTGATAACCTGGTATCGATTCAAGTTTATCTAATGTACCACCAGTTATACCTAAACCTCTTCCTGCCATCATGGGTACTTTTAATTCACATGCAGCAAGTGCTGGTGCTAATGGAATACTTATTTTATCACCAATACCACCTGTTGAATGTTTATCAACAACTGAACCACGATATTCTGGCCATTTTAAACGTTCACCACTATCTCGCATACTCATTGTCAATGAACAAATTTCATTTTCAGTCATACCTCGAATAAAAATAGCCATAAGCATAGCTCCAACATGACAATCTTGAACATCACCATTTGAAAGTCCACTAATGAATTGTTTGATTTCTTCAGCATCAAGTTCATGACCATCACGTTTTTTAGCAATTAAATCAGGAATAGATAAATCAAGATTAGATCCATTTATTGTATTTGTCATGGTAGTCATTTTATTTAGAATAAAATTGGTTGTATGTACGTATATATATATATATGTATGTGCTTCGCGAACGTTTATCTTATCGTATGAGAAAAGAATGAAAAACAAATAACATATATATATGTGTACACACCCCACAGAAATAATGTTGTTAAGTGATCCAGTAATCGATAAGAATCAGTATCATATTTCTTATGTGTACACAACGTAAACATGATGATTATTGTTTGGGTACTTTTAGAAAATAATAGTTCGTTTTTAAATTGAAGATTGTCTTATTATTTACTTTGCCAATAAATGATAAACAAATGTTAAAGATCGATTTAAATTTTTGATTCTACGAGGAAAATCAAATTAAAAATTTATTATTCATGCACATGACTCTTTTTTTTGTCACTAGTCATTTACGCACGTATATTGTACAATAGAAAATCATTGAAGTGAAACATTACGCATTACCCTTTTGAATATATAGTACAATAACATACTACGCGTGACGAATGTTTTGCTACGAAAACAAAAGGGCAAATCGTCTGTCTGATTTTTTTATTTTCTTTAATTTAAACAAAAGTTATCTTTACATTCTGAATTAAAATTAAAACGCAAATACACATTGAATTTATTTATATATCGTATTTTTACAAAAAAAACAACGGAAGAATATGATCACTGTTTTTTTTTACAAATTTATCGTCGAGCACTATTCATACTACGACCTGTTTGTGTATCTCCATAGCCAGCACGTGATGAAGATGCTGAATAATTATCGTAATTTCCATTATTTGGAATTGATTTTCTATAATTAAAAATTATTTTACTATGCAATAATATGTTCTTCTAATCTTACTTTTTCTTTTTACGTTTATCAGATACAATAGCACTAGAAATGCAAAAATTAATATAGAAAAAATATTTTTATTTGCTTTACTTTGCATCTAATTCAATATTATCTTCATCTTTCATAGCATTTTCAATAGCTGCTTGAATCATTGGTGAAACCATTGGACCTTCATAATCACGCGTTGTTCGACTCGGAAAATCAAGTTGAAGTAAAATGATATTTTCATTCTAAATATACAAATAATTGATGATAATAATAACAATTATATTAACTATACTTGAAAACGAGCTATTTCTGGAACATTATTTGATTGAGAATATTGTGCCATAGAACGACGATCACCATTCGCTGATATTGGTCGAGCAGCCATTTGATCTCTTTAAAATAGTTATCAAAAAAAAAAGGTTTTTTTTAAGCAGTGATTAATCATACGTTTGTTTCGATAATTCTTTTAATGTCCAACAATCTTGATTTTCATCAAATTGTACTCGTTTTAATAATCGATCACGTTCTTCAGTTGGTATAAAATTATCAATAATAAGTTGATATAATTTAGCTTGTTTTTGTATTTCACGTTGTTCAGCTTCAAGTTCTTCACGAGCTATTTGATGTTTATCAATAATTTCTTGTTTCTTCATTTCAAGTTTTTTAAGTGCTTTAGATAATTTATCACGTTTAGCACGTTTATCTTCCACTTCTTCTTTTATATTTGTATATGTTTCATTTATTGTTTGTCGTTCTTCTTCGCGTTGATCTAATTGTTGTTGAACTTCACGATGACGACGCTCAGCTTCAGCAATTAAATGTCTAAAGAAGAAAATTTTAGTTTCAAAAAAAAACAAAATATGAAATCAACCTTTTTTGTTGTAAAATTTGTTCTTGTTCACTTGTATGTACGACAATATCTTTTCCACCGGTGATTAATTTCGATTGCATTTCTTGAATTTTATGTTGCATTTTACGACGTTCTTCCTGTTCACGTGCAATTTCTCGTTTTTGTTCTTCGAGTTGTTGAAGCATTGCTTCACGTTCATTTTCTAAAATAAAAATACGTATTTTTTTCTTATTAAAAATTAATTATACCATTAATGTTCTTTTTATGCATAATGACTCGTTTTTCTTCATTGAGTTGATCTTGTTGTTCTTTAAGAAATAATTCTTCATCTTTTTGACCACCAGTATCATCATCATCAACTTCAGTACCATCTTTATTTCGACGACGACGTGATTTTTGACCACTTTTACCTTTACCTTCGAGTTGACTTTTTAAACGAGCAATTTCTTCTTGAAATTTACGCAATAAAGCATCTTTAGGATCTTCATTAATACGTGGTTGATTTTTAATATTTTTCGCTCGATTAGCATAACTAATAATAAACAGAATTAAAAGAATTGTTTCAAAAAGTAAATGAATTACCGTAGTGTTGTAAGAGATTCATCATAATTATAATCAGCAGGTCCAAGTGTAGCAATCATAATAGTTTTTGAATTACCACCAAGTGAATCTATAGATCAATAGAATTATTTATCAATAAATGTTTTTCCTCCAATTCTTACTTTGTAACAATCGTGTAAGTTTAGAATCACGATAAGGAATATGTGAACTACCATCAACAAGAGCAGATATAACATTACCAAGTGTAGAAAGTGATAAATTTATATTTGTTGCTTCTTTAAAACGATCACCCTAGATGTGCATAAGAAGAAAATTAAATATAAGATTTTGATATTTTAAATCATATATTACAGTTGATCCTGTTTTTGCTTGACGTTCACTACCAGCCAAATCGACAAGATTTAATTTTCCAACACGAATATGTGCTTTTCCATCAGCACCAATCTAAATAATTCTAGTTTATACTATTCATTTTTAATATTAAATCTTCTCTACCTCACTACTTTCAACAGTAATTATAAAGATAGCATGTGATCGTGAACTATGTTCATTCATATTCGTTGCTCTAATTGAAAAAAAAAATTCTAACTATTTTTCTTCGAAATTCATTCAAAAAAATTTACCCTGTTGACCGATTTAAGTTCCCTGTTGTCATAACATGTTCAATTTCCTGAATATTTTTTGTAATAAATGAACTAAGATCATGTACATGTACACCTTCCTTTGGATGTTCTTGTAATTGTAATCGTTTATTTTGATCTCGTGAAAGTAGATCACGAATACTTTCCTAAAATAATTTTCTTTTATAAAAAAAGTCATCAAATGAAATTAAAATAATATATTTACGTTGTATATTTCTAAATAAGATGCTCGAACGAGAAATTGTTTCGATGTAGTTTGAGCTATGGAATCAAATATGTGTGCAAATGATGCTGGAATAATTCCACGTAATTCCGGTTTAGAACGAATACCTAAGGGAATTATTTGATTGAGAAATTTTATGTATTATTCATTTATTTTACCTTCCATAGTAAATGTTTTTCCAGTTCCTGTTTGTCCATAAGCAAATATTGTTCCATTGAAACCTTCGAGTACTGAATCAACGAGTGCTCGTGCAGTTTGTTCATAGACATTTTTTTGTTCCGAACTAAAAAGTGATTTGATGAGAAAATATAAAGTATTGAAATGTTCACATACTTCCAATCATAAACAGCATCAAAATAAAAATTATGTGTATCATCAGTACTTTTCGTCCCTTGTGAACTTTCAGTGCTAGGACGTTTAATTGATACTTGTCGACGTTGATTATCAATCTCAATAACTCTAATAAATATATCAATAAAATGAAAATTTCATTCAAAATTAAACTTAAATGAAACCTTTCACAACTCTTCACTTGTTCGCTTTCATTCATCGGACGACATCGAACCACAACTCGAACCGATTCATCTTTTCCACCCTTACTCGATGCAGTTGATGGTCGAGGCTATAACATAACAATTAAAAAGTAAATAAAAAAACTGAATTTATCCTTTATTTACCATATTTAAATCGAAAAGTGAAGTAACATCGGTAGAACTTCTTTTTCTTGTAACAACTATATTTCGCGTAACTAAGCAAATTTGATTGGTCAATTATCGGCCAATGTTAATTCATTTTAATCAATCATCTACATATAAAACTAAATAAAGAAATAAAAATAAAATAATTCTTACTTTCAAATTTATAATTAATTTAGTTTTATGATTAATCCTATAAGAAATTATAAACCAATCAAAATAATTCAATGAGTCATGAAGTAAGGCCTAAATTTTTATTTTATTTATTTCGGTCTTTCATCAGCTTTTATTAATAAGGTTTCGTATTTTCATAATTCAGATGATGTAATGATTAGTTAATTAGTATATAAAATGGAATTATCTAGTGAAATTACATATATTTTATATTTTTAGATGGCAACAAATAGTGAGAATATGAACCCTGGTGACAATGAAAATACTCAACAAGCTGCAACCGGTGAAGGACCACCAAAAACAGCAAAACAATTGGCAAAAGAAGCAGAAAAGGCTGAGAAATTAAAAAAATTCGAAGAAAAACAAAAAGCAAAAGCCAAGGCAGAAGAAGAGGTTCATTAAATTATTACTTTTGTAAAATTATATTTTAAAATCTTTTAGAAAAAAGCCAAAGAACAAGCTGCTGGTGGTGCTAGTGCAAAAGAAAAAACTGTAGTTCGTGATATTACTGAATATACATCTCCGACAGCTGCTGGCGAAAAGAAAGGTAAATCAAATAAATATATAATCGATAATATTTCACTATTTTTCTATTCATTAGATATCCATTGTGAACTACCTAAAGCTTATAGTCCAAAATATGTCGAAGCAGCATGGTATAACTGGTGGGAAAAACAAGGTTTCTTTCGTCCAGAATATTATGATGAACATCCTCCAGCAAATGCTTCAACACCACGAAAATCATTTACTATGGTTATTCCACCACCAAATGTTACTGGTTATCTACATTTAGGTCATGCTATTATGTGTACATTAGAAGATACAATTTCTAGATGGCATCGTATGTGTGGTGAAACAGTTCTTTGGGTTCCAGGTTGTGATCATGCTGGTATAGCAACACAAGTTGTCGTAGAGAAAAAAATAATGCGAGAAAAGAAATTGTCAAGACATGATTTAGGACGTGAAAAATTTTTGGAAGAAGTTTGGAAATGGAAAAATGAAAAAGGTGATCATATCTATGAACAAATTAAAGCCTTAGGTTCATCATGTGATTGGTCACGTAAAGTATTTACTATGGATAAAGATATGTCATATGCTGTCGAAGAAGCATTCATTCGTATGCATGAAAAGAAATTAATTTATCGTTCAACACGTTTAGTCAATTGGTCATGTACACTTAAATCTGCAATATCTGATATTGAAGTATTCTTATTTGAATTTAGTTTTAAACATATATTGATCTTTTTTTGTTCTAGGTCGAAAAAACTGAATTAAAAGGTAAAACATTAATTCGTGTACCAGGTTATGAACAACCAGTTGAATTCGGTGTTTTAACGTTTTTTGCTTATCCAGTTGAAAATTCAAGTAAATCTTTCGCATATTTGTTTTTTTTTGAAAGTCATTAAATTCATTTTTCATATTGATAGAAGAAGAAATTATTGTTGCAACAACACGTCTTGAAACTATGCTTGGTGATACCGCTGTTGTTGTTCATCCGGATGATGAACGTTATAAACATTTACATGGTAAATTTGTTCAACATCCATTTCTTCCACGTCGTATACCAATTTTATCTGATACAATGGTTGATCCAGCATTTGGTTCAGGTGCAGTTAAAATAACACCAGCACATGATCAAAATGATTTTGATTGTGGACGTCGTCTTAATTTACCATTTATAACATGTATTAATGGTGATGGTTTAATGTCATCAGAATGTGGTCCATATGCTGGTAAACCACGTTTTGATGTTCGACGTCAATTGTTAAATGATTTAAAAGAACGTGGTCTTTATCGTGATTCAAAAGAAAATGAAATGGTTCTACCAATATGTAGTCGAAGTAAAGATATTATTGAACCATTACTTAAACCACAATGGTATGTTAATTGTCAATCAATGGCACAACGTTCAATCGATGCTGTACGATCGAAAGAATTAAAAATTTTACCAACTCTTTTTGAACCTGTTTGGTATCGATGGTTAGAAGATATACGTGATTGGTGTATATCACGACAATTATGGTGGGGCCATCGAATACCATCCTATTTTATTAGTTCAGATGATATACCTGCAGGCAACGATACAGATGATAAATATTGGGTTAGTGCTCATTCACGTGAAGAAGCACTTGATAAAGCAGCACAAAGATTTAATATTTCAAAAGAAAAAATTCGATTAGAACAAGATGAAGATGTTCTTGATACATGGTTTTCATCTGGTCTTTTTCCATTTTCATCGTTTGGTTGGCCAATGGAAACTGATGATCTTAAACGATTTTTTCCTACAACATTACTTGAAACTGGTCATGATATAATTTTCTTTTGGGTTGCACGTATGGTTATGATGTCATTAGAATTAACTGATCGTTTACCATTTACTGAAATTTATTTACATGCTATCATTCGTGATGCACATGGACGTAAAATGTCAAAAAGTATAGGTAATGTTATTGATCCACTTGATGTTATTACTGGTATAACACTTGAAAAACTTCATGAACAATTAAAAACTGCTAATCTTGATCCAAAAGAATATGAACGTGCAAAACAAGGTCAACAAGGTGATTATCCAAAAGGTATACCAGAATGTGGTACTGATGCATTACGTTTTGCTTTATGTTCTTATGCTAATCAAGGTAAATTAAATTAAATTATTTATCCTATAAAATATTAATTACATCTAGGTCGTGATATTAATTTGGATGTATTACGTGTTGAAGGTTATCGCCGTTTCTGTAATAAATTATGGAATGCAATTCGATTTGCTATGTCAAAAAATTTAGATATTAATGCTCCAAATTGTTTTCAACCACCCGCTGAATTTAAATTAACTGGTCATGAAAAACCATGTGATTTATGGATAATAAGTCGATTAAGTCATGCTATTCAACAATGTGAACATGGCTTTAAAAATTATTTATTTCCTCAAATTACAACAGCTATTTATAATTTTTGGCTTTATGAATTATGTGATGTTTATATTGAATATGTTAAAAAAGATTTATATGCTAAAGAACCAGATTTACAAAGACAAGAAACTATTAAACTTATGTTATACACATGTTTAAACAATGGGTTAAGATTATTAGCTCCTATAATGCCTTTTGTTTCCGAAGAACTATTCCAACGTTTGCCTAAGCCAAATAATGGACAAGGTGCACCACCCAGTCTCTGCGTTACACCTTATCCACAATCGAGTGAAGTAAATATTTATTAATTTTTCTTGTATTTTCTTGTATATTAATCTATATTATTTAGTTCCAACAATATCGTAATGAAAATATTGAAACAAATGTTACAACTATTTATGAATCAATTAATAAAATTCGTTCATATCGATCAGCAAACAAGATTGTTTCAAAAGAAAAAGATAATCGTAAGTTTTATTTATCTTCTTAGGTAAATGACTCTTTATATTTTGTAGTTTATATTCATGCATCACCTACATCGGCAACACTATTTACTGAATATACTGATCTTATTCAACCACTTGCTAATATCGATACAATACAATTACTTAAAGATAAACCAACTGGTGACCAAAATGAATATATCAATATAGCAACAACATCGGATTATACCTTTTATTTTAAATCTAAGTGATCATCTGAAATTTAATTTGTTGTTGTCTATTGTTTTTATTGTTCTAATTTTATTTATAAAAGAAAAAGATCTATAATAAAATCAGTAGGATCGTTAATTTCATGAGAAAAGAAGAATTTATGTTTTAGATAAAAATATAATGAGTTTAAACGAAGATGAACAATCTCATTCACTTTTTCATCAAACTAGTCATCCGATAAATGAACGTTCGAAATTAAATGAAGAGTATTTAAATAAATATGAAACATGGAAAACACAACCAGGAATGGCACAAATTAAACTTGAGTATGTTCTAGTTAGTATTTATATAATGAATGACAACAATTCTTATTTAAAGGTTCATTGATTTTGATCATGAAATTAGATTTAAAATTGAACATTTAAGTGAAACAGATAAGAAATTAGTTACTGATACAAACAATGAAACAAATCCTGCTGAAGAACCAAAGAAAAAGAAATTTAAAGTAAGTATTCAAATTATAAATTTAGAGATCTATATTCATATATTGTAGGGTCAAAATAAAAAACATTTAGAAATAAATGCTCGATCGGCTTCAAATTATAACGATCATCAATTATGTTATTTTGTTATACGAGGTGGTATTGCTAATTGTTCATATCAATCAAACTGTAAACATTCTCATGATTTAACTACGTATCTATCTCGACGACCTACAGATATTGATTCAAAATGTTATATGTTCGATACGTATGGACAATGTCAATTTGGTATCCTATGTCGTTTTGGTCAAGCTCATATTGATCCGGTAACAGGTCAAAATATAATTGTTTTACGTCCAAATCAAATTTATATTGAACCACTTAATAAACTTCCTCCTCTATTAAAACATTTATTACGACGAAAAAAATATGATTATACATTAGCTGATCGTTTAGTTAGAATAGCAAATAAACAAATAACAAAAGTGAATGTTGCTAAACGTAATAATCCATCAACAACAGATGATGATAAAGCTAATGAGAAACATCATGATGATAATGATGTTGGAGAAAAAGAAGATCGATCACTTGTGGATATTTATTATTCAGCACTTAAAAAAACTGATCCAAATCCAATAGAGGTAATATTTTCATCAGTTATATGTTAAGTAACATGATGTTGATTTAAATCTATAGGCAAATGAAACTGAAAATATTAAAACAGATGTTCCTGTAATTGATGGTGATCAACAACAAGAACAAACATCACGTCCAGTTCCATTTCGAACACTCGGTGCGATAACTGATGTTGATATGATTCGTTTGAAACCTCGTGAAAAAGTTCGAATAGATTTTAATCGTCGTCTTTATCTAGCACCATTAACAACAGTTGGTAATTTACCATTTCGTCGTATTTGTAAAGAATATGGTTGTGAAATAACTTGTGGTGAAATGTCAATGACAACATCTTTACTTCAAGGACAACAACAAGAATTTGCATTATTACGTCGTCATCCATCTGAAACTATATTTGGTATTCAACTTTGTGGTTCATTTGTTGATACAATGACACGAACAGTTCAAATGCTTGAAGAAAATTTTGATTATGATTTTATCGATATTAATTGTGCATGTCCCATTGATCTTGTTTATAAGAAAGGTGCTGGTTGTGCAATAACACGTCGTACAATTGATTTTGAACGTATATGTCGATCAATATCATGTCTTTCAACACGTCCAATAACAATTAAATTACGTACAGGTATATTTACAAATGAAAATAATGCACATGAAATCATATCATTAGCTAAATCATGGAAATCCGAACATGATGATAATCATGTTGTTGATTTATTTACTTTACATGGTCGTTCAAAAGAAATGCGTTATTCAAAAAGTGCTGATTGGAATTATGTTGATCAATGTGCAAAATTATCTGATCCAATACCATTATATGGTGTTGGAGATATTTATTCATTTGAAGATTATTATCAAAAATTAAATGAAACAAATGTTAGTGGTTGTATGATCGCACGTGGTGCTTTAATTAAACCATGGTTATTTACTGAAATAAAAGAACAACGTGCATGGGATATATCAGCTAGTGAACGTTTTGATATGTTAAAACGTTATGCAAATTATGGTTTAGAACATTGGGGTTCGGATCATTCAGGTATAGAAAGAACTCGACGATTTCTACTTGAATGGATTTCATTTCTTTATCGTTATATACCTGTTGGTTTACTTGAACGACTTCCACATAGATTAAATGAACGACCACCCTATTTCTTTGGACGTAATGATCTCGGTAATCATTCAAAAAATGAACTTTTTTTTTGGAAAACTTTCTGTTTATTTTCTAGAAACATTGATGGCATCAAAACTTTGTTCGGATTGGGTGAAACTAACGGAACTTTTATTAGGAAAAGTTTCTTCTGACTTTCAATTTTTACCTAAACATAAAGCAAATGCATATGGATAATTCAAATACAGTGTTATTTTTTTTTAATACTTTTTGTTTTGTTTTCATGACTAATTCCTCTATTATTGTCGATATTGATTAATAAAACTTTCAATATCTGATGTAATATAATGTGACTACAAATCTTTCATTTATTCATTCAAATGTGCGATGAAAATATAAGCAAATAAAAAATGATACATGATCTAATAAGAAATCAAATTTTGAAAAAATATCATCATTAATAGAATACTCATTGATGTTGAATAAATTGAATTAACATGATTTCCAGGTAAAAATGGTTCGATACCAGTATAATCTTTTTGTATTTTTTCTTTAATATCTCGAAAGATTTCTAAACGACTACAATTGACTCCATGACAGATAATATCAGTTTCATTAATTTGAAATTCTTTGTTATCTAAATAATAAACAGCCTCGATAGTAACTGAAGGTATTTGAGAGCCCGTAGTGGTACAAAACGATGTATAACAATAATGAGTTGTTTCACCGTTTTGAAATGATTCTTCGATTGTACAAGTTTCACATTCTTGAATACTACATTGATCTGGATCAACAAAATATGGTTTATTACTACAAAAAGTAGCAGCTGGACATACATAACAATTCGTCAGTTTTTCATCTGTTTTACGTAGAAGATTTTCATTAAGCCAATCAGAAGGTAATGATAATGATAAACCATTTGCTGGTAATTCTTTTAATAAATCGGGTCGATTACATCCATCTGTCTGACATGCATAGACTATTTTAAATGCTTCATGTGACCATTTATCTATGGTTGTATTATAAGTAATCATTTCTCCGACTGACATGTAATATGGAGTATATTCATAATGAGTTGCGGAAATTCTTGGTAGATGTTTTATCTCAACAGTAATTCCATTTGGGAAGTTTTCTCGTGCAAGGATACAATATGATTCATTTGCATTAACTTCAACTATATTATCACATGGACAAGATACATCCGTACAATCTTTACATTCATAACAACGAAGTGTTAATATTGATTGAATAGAAAAAAGAAATATACATAGAGATAGTAATAATTTTAGAGAAATAGTATCGAACATTGTTGATATTTGTGTTGAAACCTGTAAGAAAATGAAAATAATAATACGTAAATAAATGTATATAATAGAAAAATAAAAGATGATAAAAAAATGATAAGAAAAATAGATAACATAATATTATTATGCATCAGACAGAAAATAAGAAAAGAAAATGTTTGTTTTAATTGACGATGTATGAGTGCTGGTGTAGACGGAAAAGAGACACTCACTCTTTTTATTTATGTGGGTGTGGGTGAGAGAGGGGTCCACGAAAAATTAAAGTTATCATGGTTTACTTTTATGCTATGCAACTAAAGAATGGTCTATTCCCTTTAGTCCCTTTACTCCTTTTAGTCCCTTAAGTTCCCTTAGGGTGTGGATGTGAAACAATGTAAATAGCCACACCCACACCCTCAAGATTTTTTTTTCCAAAGAAAAACTTTCTATAAAATTTTTTTGTTTTAATTTGATTATTATATAAGAAAATATTTATCTGGATAAAAAATTCAATATCCCATATCAATAATAATATTGATTTATTTAAATGATAAAATAATAATACAAAGAATTATTTACTAATTGAATATTTATAAAAGTATTAAAGAGATTTTTAAGATTTAATGAATAAATATGAGAAATAATTTGTTTATATGAAAACAAAACATGAATTCATAGGCGGCGGAGCGCCTTGAATCTGGGTGAGTCTTATAGTATTTTCTTCTTCTCATTCGCTGAATTGCGACGGTCAAACTTTTATTAGAGCTGTAGCATCAAAAAAGCTGTTTTATTCAGTTCAATAAATTAAAAGGATCAAAGAATAAAAAATGGCTATGATCAAAAAGAGCTAAAGAACCGTCTTCGTTGTTTGTTTTTTGATGCAAATGTAGAACAAATACTGTTCAAGTCTTGAAGGTGTGAGTGTTGGTGGGAGTGGATGTATGTAAGTATGAGTGTGGGTGCAAGCCTTGTTCTTATCTCACACACACCACACCACACCACACCCACACCCTTATAGGATCAGTAAAAGTCTAGTTTATTTTTTTAATATTTCAACGAAAACATAACCAAAAAAAATATTTCTTTTTTTCTAATAAGAAATTAAACTTTGAAAAAATATCGTAATTAATAAAATACTCATTGATGTTGAATAAATGGAATTAACATGATTTCCAGGTAAAAATGGTTTGACACCAGTATAATCTATTTGTATTTTTTCTTTAATATCTCGAAAGATTTCTAAACGACTACAATTGACTCCATGACAGATAATATCAGTTTCATTAATTCGAAAGTCTTTGTTATGTATATAATAAACAGCTTCGATAATAATTGAAGGTGTCTGGGTGTCTGAAGGTACACAAAATGATGTATAACAATACTCAGTTGCTTCAATAGTTGTGAATTTTTCGCCGATTATACAAAAGTGTTCACATTCTTGAATACTACATTGATCTGGACTAACAAAATATGGTTTATTACCACATACAGTCACATCTGGACATTCATTACAAGTTGTCATTTTTTGATCTGTTTTGCGTAGAAGATTTTCATTAAGCCAATCAGAAGGTAATGATAATGACAAACCATTCGCTGGTAATTCTTTTAATAAATTGGGTCGATTACATTCATCTGTTTGACATGCATAGACTATTTTATTTGCTTGATTTGACCATTTTTCTATGGTTTTATTATAAATAATCGTTTCTTCTACTGATATGTAGTATGGAGTATATTCATAATGAGTTGCAAAATTTCTTGGTATATGTTTTATTTCAACATTAATACCATTTGACAAGTTTTCTCGTAGAAGAATACAAAATGATTCATTTGCATTAACTTCAACTATATTATCACATGGACAAGATACATCCGTACAATCTTTACATTCATAACAACGAAGTGTTAATATTGATTGAATAGAAAAAAGAAATATACACAGAGATAGTAATAGTTTTAGAGAAATATTATCGAACATTGTTAATATTTGTGTTAAAATCTGTAAGAAAATGAAAGTAATAATACGTAAATAAATTTATATAATAGAAAAATAAGAGATGATAAGAAAAATGATAAGAAAAATAGATAACATAATTTTATTATGAATCAGACAGAAAATAAAAAAAGAAAATGCTTGTTTTAATTGAAGGTCTGTGTGCTAAGGTAGATGAAGAAGAGACACTCACCTTTTTTATTTATGTATTTCGAATGAGTTCGAATTGTATTTAATTATGTAAGAGTTTTTCAAAACAATAAATTGTCGTATATCTCAAACCCATAGAATTTTCTTAAAAAGAATATGTTTGAGTGTTATTTATATGAGATTATATTTGTTATAGTTATAAAGTTTATGATATATTGTAAAACTGTTTCATATATTTCAAACTATTGATGATAAAGTCAATAGAAACTAATTCTCTTGTAAAGTGAAATAATTACTTAAGTTTACGTTTTCTTATACTCATATATTCTAAGACTATAATAAAAATTTTTCTTAAAATAAAAAATAATTAAAAAAAATGTTTTTTTCTTTCACATAAAATTTCAATTATTCGCATAATCACTGTGTTCACTTGAATTTAATTCAAAAGTTGTTTCAGGTGCTGTTGCAATATTTTGTGATGATGTTGGAGTAGATTCTAGTTCAATAGAACTAATTGGTGGCGCAAAATCAACGTCCATATCACATTCTATAATTGTTACAGCATCGGCTGGTTTTAATTCCAAAACCAATAATTCATAACTACGATTAAGACAATTTATTGCTATGAGATCACCTTTTGTTAAACAACTAAAATTTCTTAGAGCTATTGCTAAAACTGCTGAAGGATTTGATATATCAAGAAAATCTTTTGATTGAGGTTGAAAATGTACAAATGTAGCTGTAGGTAATGCAACAAATTCAACAGTTATATCTTCACCTTCTTGTAATAATAAATGACGCATCATCCAAATTGGTAAATAACATGTTTTATCATCATTTGGTAAAAATTCTAAAACACCACAATGTATTATACGATCAAGTTTTGTATTTTTTAACTTGAATAACATGGTACCATTTTGTTCAATTAATTGTTCTAATGCTGCTTGTGGAAGTAAAATTTTTCCACCATTATTGAGATTTAAACGTTCACGATCATGATCCGGTAAAAATTCAGCGGAATAACATTTATAGATAGCACGAAAAGGGCGAGCATTAGCGCCAGGTAAATTTTGTTGAAAAAATTGGCGATTGAAAAACATTATTATAATCGAAAACGATCTCTTGGTAAGTTGTAACAAGCAATTTGTTTTGATAGTACGTAGTGCTCGACATCTACTATGTCTTTACATATTTTACTTTTCTCTTATGGTTTGTCAATAGAATATTTCGAAAGACAAAGTAGATATCGTGCATCATCTCTTATCAAGAAAAGTTGCTTATTACATTTTATTAAGATGTAAATGACTTTGATTGAACAAATATATATTGCAAAGATAACATTGATCTGCCAGAACAACATTTTTTTTTCAAAACAAATTATAAAAAGAAGACTAAATTTTAATATGCAAAGCAAAGAGTTTGATTATTAGAAAATGTGACACTATGATATACTTGGGAAAATGTACTTTTGATCACCAAAAAAAGGTGCAACTGATCACCAAACTAATTAGCACGTAGTGAGCGTTAGCGAGTTCATTTTATGAGTGTTGGATAATACATCTATGATAGATCATATACTTCTCGTAAAGGTTGATTAATCAATGTACCAAGATTACATAAAAAAAGGATAATCCATTTCGATCTGAATGATCCAATCAACTAAAAATACTTTTAAAGCTCCAAGCCGTCCAAAAAATGTTTGCACGACATGGTTACCATAATTTGTTATTAATATTATTTATTTTTTTTGTATCTATTTTGTATGTAGTATTATCTTTAGTGTATGCGATTGTTATTAATGTACTATCTATTTATAATTAATAAATTTGGTGATCACTTGTACCTTTCTGTAGTGATCAAAAAAATTGCTACCCTATTTCAATCGTCCACAGTAAATTAAAATGTAGTTACAATTAGGATCAATGCATAATATAATGGCGGTACGGGCGTGGGTGGCTGTCCGCATGGGTGTTTCTTATACTCACACCCACCCTCTGGAAGATTTCCAAAAAAAGAATAGGAACACAAAACTCTGGCAACATCTATGAATTATTTAATCATTTTAAGTGGCTTTTTTAAACGAAAAAATATTCTTTAGAATATAAAGAGGAAGGCGGAATACTTTCAGAATTTATTTTTCTTAGAAGTTATTATCACAAATCTCTTTTCTTCTTTTCTCAATCAAAAAACAGACATAAATCATATACCATTCGCGTTTATTTTAGTTCTGAAGTAAAACGATAGTATATGAATGTAATATTTATCAATACAGAGTCATCATAAATACATAATGATCAGAATAATTTACACATGAATGAAAAATATTCAGTAGCGTTAATAAATCGCCTCAAAAATATGAGAATTATACGCATGAAAAAATCTTATTTTCAATGCATTCACTTTACTAAACGAAGATATAATATAAAACTACGTAGAATACATGAATGTAAGTGTTTAAACAATGGGCAATGTATCAAAGTCATAATAAATGAAGCAGCAAACTATTATGGCGTGTGTAGTGTTTGTGGGTGGGTGTGGATGTATCAGTGCATAGATGTTAATGGCTTTTCTTCTCTCTCATCCAAACCCAAATGTAGTGGTACTGGATTTCATTTTAATACCTTGCATATATTCTGCTTCTAGATTATCTACTGAACGTAGCTATATAGGATACATGATTATCAAAATTTTACTTATAATAATTTTTTCACTCACTATTTATCAGTCAAATGTGCCAAAACACTTTCATTAGAGGCAGGTATTTAGAAATATGCGACATCTATTGAACTACAAGGATATTGTAGAAATTCTTATCCAACAAAGATGAGAATAAAAGAATACTAATTATTGTCGGTTGTCATTTTTGACAGGTAACTTTTAATAATGATCTATTACTAAGCTGTTTCTTTCTTCCTTTCTTTTGCATTAATAAATATTTTTTCTTAGAAATATTTATTGATTCCGTTCGATGTGAATAAATAATCTCTTGTTTTTCAAAAGAATTTTATACAATCTAATTTCAGTTTGTATTTTACTATACATACACATATATGTAATTTCTTTTCTTTTCTGTCCTCTTATAGGTGTACAGTAAAGTGAACTAGTACCCACTAAGGAAGTATGCTACCGTCACGTTGTACTGATAAATTTTTTTCATTTCATATTATTGCATTATTTTCTTATCTATTTTCTTTCTTTACTTAATTGTCAACTTAGTAAATATTTAAACGTTCAAAAGAATACAAGAAAGGAGAATGACAAGAAGATACAAATGCGCCATATACCTCGATTGATATATTTATAAATACGTATTATCCTCTCTTCTTTTGTGAAACACGAACTAAAAGGACTGTTGAAGTGTTTAGGAGCAGAAATTTGCATCCACTACCCCCCCCCCCCCCCCCACTGACGTGACCGACAAAACTGCGAAGGCAGCAACTGAGAGTGCATCATAGATCGTCCCTGACGTGACCGACAGAACATCACTGATGTGACCGACAGAACATCACTGATGTGAGCGACATAAGCAGCAAAAGTAGCCGAAATATCATTGAAAACCATCACAAACGTGACCGACAGAGCTTAGTAAACCATCACTGACGTGACCGACAAAGCATGCTAAAAAAATAACAGACGTGACTGACAGAACGTCACAGAAGTAATCCACGTGATATTATAGAATATCATAGACGTGACCGACCGAGTATAGCAAAATATCACTGACGTGACCGACAGGGCATCATAGATCATCATAGACGTAACCGACAGAGAATCACAGACGTGACCGACAGATGTTATTTTGACCTGGCCACAGTCCTGGTCGACAAGGTATCATAGGTCTTTATATAGGGTGTGGGTGTAGACATAAACGAGCAAAGATTACGATATTCACACTCACACAACTGTTAAAACGCTAGCAAAGCGAGTACATCATATATAAATTATTTCTTTCCTATATTTCTATACCTTTATGCCACAGAATGAGGCAAAATCTGCTTCATAACGATACAATTAAACTATATTCTTGAAGGTAGAAACAACAGTTAGATCGTGTTTCACATTTTAATCCCGCAAGGGATTGCGCTAGCAGCTTTTTCATTATACTTCCTTTCTGTCACTTTTCCCATATTAGAACAGAACGATTATAACAACAGTATTTATTCCACTTTGTTGTTTTCCTATCCTAATATACCGCAGTACTGTCAGCTGCTATTAAAAAAGTTATATTACAGCAGATAAACAGTGATTTCTCTTTTATTTTTAGTTAACCATCCTACATCATTACACCGTGATGGTGCGTTCGTGTTTGGAATCTCTCTCTATAGAAGTTCTCTACGAAATTTTTGACTGCCTATCAGCCCATGACTTGTTCCGTGCATTTGGTGGCCTTACAAGTCGGTTCAACGACGCATTGGCAAAATATCCTGTTTGGCTTGATATGCGGTTCGTGTCTAGGTACGCGTTTGATCATTTATGTTGCACGGTACAGCCCGAACAAATAATCTCACTCACATTATCGAATTCTCTTAAATCGTGCGGCCAAATGGAGTTGTTTCTTAAATCTGTTCGGGTTGAAGAAATGAAAAATCTTCGCTCATTAGCCTTGCTTGGAGGTGAATCCGTTGCTCTGTCGTCGATTTTTATGCGCTTACCATGCGTGGATCTACTTAAATCAATAACCATTCTTGGTGCTGAGAGAATCGAAAACTCAGGAATAAATCCAGAGTTTCTTCAGGATCCCACATCTTACGACATTCATCCATTTTTGACATTCGTAAAAACGCCACTTCATCATTTGCGTCACCTAGCAATTGATGCATGTACACATGATGAGATACAACACCTTTGTTCACTCGTGCCTCAACTCAAAAGTCTTTTTATCGAACTCGTCGAAGACAATTTATTTGAACTTAATCGATTACCCAAGAGTCTGACTAAGCTCACTCTTGTCAGTTTGTACAGTAAGTTTGATTCAAAGCCCCGAAACTAAACTGTAATCTCTAAAGATATGTCTTACTAATAATCGATTTCACACGAGAGACTCACTTGGAAAAAATAAAATCTAGCTCCACTTTTGAATGTTATGATGAGATCCAGTCTGACTTATATTTCTGAAAATAGATCGAAATACAACTTATTAACATCAACTATGATTGCGGATAATTCTCTGAAACGAATAAGCTTTTTACTGAATATTACTGAAAGAGTAATAATCAATATCTGAAACATTTAAGAACTCAGATCGATCAAAATGAGCCGTATTACTTCGACTATTATTGCGGCCAGTATGCGATCTGTCTGCATATCGTTCCACTTGGAAATTTGTACTAAAATTTTGATTGTTCCGTCTATTAAAAAATTATAGTTAGAACCTGATTAGAATATATTTTTAGTGTAGTTAATCTGTTATACTCCAGGAAAGGCGAGAGAAGAGAAGAAAGGTATTTATTTGTTGTTTCAGCGATCTTTTTTAACTGTAACCGTTTTCGATGTATGAACTTTACATACGTGTAGTATCCGTCGCATTCAAGAGAAGAGAGTATAACTTGCTTACTATGTATTTTTGATATTCAATAGTAATCATGTTTCACAAAAGGTTGTATGGTCATTTGTTAGTGAGAAAAAAACAGACCAGTGCAAAAAATGTTCTAGGTTCGTGTTGTAGGTTTGAATTTTGATATATAGTTAAATTTTCATAGGTCAATTGTCATTCAGCTATTTGACACAGCAATTGAACTCTCTGACACAACTGAAACATTTAAATCTCGAACTGCAAGTTAATCAAGACGTGGCTGATGGAAATCAATGGGAAAAGTTTCTCACAAGATATCTCCCTGGCCTCTCTAGCTTTCAGTTCAAGTTCCAGATGAATGGATGCCGTGATTTAGGCAATGATATTATCAAATCATTTTGTAGCGCCTTCTGGCTTGAAGAAAAACACTGGTTTGTTGTCATTACTGACGCCAAAACAGATTGGTATCACGGTGAGTACACCCACTGTTTTTGTCATATGTGAACAGTTTACATTAAAGTTACACGGATATGATTTTTTTCTAAACTTCTTATAATAGAAACTGACAAAATCTATTTCAGAAGTTGACCAGGATGAGTTTCTTAGCAATTTCTTAGAAAAACTGTGAAAAGTTCTTAATTTGTTAGTTTCTATTTTCGGACAGCATTGTTCTCTGAAAAAGTATCGATCTTTGAAAAATTTTACCTAGTTCGAAAGATTTTGTAATAATATCAATTTTGACTACTGACGTTTAGATAGGCTGCATGTATTGCTTTATCAAAAGTCATCTCTACTGAAAGCAGTGAGTGTAGCTCTCTATTTTCGATAACAACAAGTTCATCAGATCTTTAATATATTTTGAAGTAAAACGAGTTCTGTCGTTGATGATTGATTGAATAATGTTATCATTTAGATAAGATCATCCTTTCGACAGTATCGCTCTATGCACCTCAATATTGGGATTATAATCATCCATTAAAGCCACGGTTCACAACAGCCCCAAGTTCATTTGATTTCAGCCGCTATATCAATCATCTGATGCTGGAATTTAAAGCTATAGGTTGTGGTGCAACTGAACGTTTGAAAAGAACATTGGATTATATAACAGACGATGTTGTACCGGAAGAAGAGTTAAATTTTTCATTGGATAATGATTGCTTGCAATCGTACAACCTGATTAATGTTCAAACACTCGAGCTGCGCGATGGTAACTATCTTCATCCCGTCACGGGACATGAAGAGATCCCAAAAATTCAGACTCTGTTTCATCTCCCATCCCTTCAACACTTGAATCTCGGCCAGGCACTGGTTTCGGCAAACTTCCTCTTCAGACTGCTCGAAATTATGCCTTCTGTGACTCATCTCACCATCCCACACAATCTGAAACTAGAAAACTTCGATAGTGGTCGTCACTCATTCAATCAGATAAAGACGCTCACGATATCATCGCGGTACGGTAGTCTTACTTTTGGATGTGGGTTTGGACTTCTGAAAAACTGCATGTTATCTCATTCTCCTGAGATTTTTTTTCGACTATTTGCCCATGTTGAACATCTCGACATGCCGGTCGATGAAATAGACCAGGTGACTAGTGTGATTAACGCATTGTTGCATCTCAAGAATGGCACATTCCATGTTAAAGATCGGCGTGAGTATAATATTGATCATATCAAGTTGTGTACTTTTCACATTTTTAAGAGTGATTCGTTCGATCGTGATTCTAAAGTAAAAAACAACAAAATCAGATAGTATAATAGTTATATTAGAATGCTTAAGATATTATAGATTACGAAATTCATCATTTAGTAGTGATAATCTCTACTGATACAGACGGCAAAATTATCAAGCACTATAAAATCTCTCAAGAGCTTCAATTGTTACGCTTTTAACGAACGGTTTATCGATGCGATAACGTAGTCATAGGGTGAGATAGATGCACGTATTCCTTGAAGCACGCAGTTCTCTCTGGAAAAATCTATACGTGAGTCTCGTCTTTTGTTTACTGAGAAAGTTTTAAATAAAGAGATGATCTATAATATTATACAATATGCTTTAATTCGCATACTTCTTTCAAACTGAATCAAGAAAACTAATTTTTTTATAATTATTCTTCATTTTTCTTTAGCCACTTGATCAGAGTGTCGAAAATATTGTGTTGGACTTTGTTGCATATACATAGAAGGATTTTGAGAACAGTTATTTCTTAAAAGTTATTTTAATTGATTAAAACAAAAGGTCTGATAACATCGCAGTATATTCCTGGCTGAATAAAGTGATGTATCTTATCCTCTTGTAAAACAAAAGTTGATCCATCTTTATATTCCACTAAGAGAATCGAAAGACTGGAAGACATTTAAATCTATATTAGTTTTAAATACTTGGTCCCATTATACTACATAAAAAGCAGTTGATATTCACACACCTCCTCGAAAATAAGTCAAGATTTAATGAGTGGGGAGCAGGGCTCATGGACCAATAAAATCTGACCATTACGGCATATCATGCTCATGTTGCTAAATCTATTATTCGTCCTCACTCGTTTTGAAGTGAGGATATAGGTGGGTGTGGATATGAGTGTCTATTGAGAAAGGAGATATCCGCACCCATTCACCCACACCCCACTGGAATTCGAACGAAAAACTTTAATCAGTAATATAATGCATATGTGAGTCTTTGTTTTAGATTATCATTCCCGTGGCAATGTAAACGCCATAGAAAATATTTTGCATGGTACACGCCTCTCAAGCAATAATTGTACTTATCGAGATACAAACGATTCTTGGCACTTCTGGATTAAAGTTGATGAAGGTGTCTGTCAGCAATCACACCGTTCTCGCTTCTTTTTTCTCAATTACTCTTTTTTGAAAAAATGTTGTCTGCGATAACATTCTTCTTCTTTGTCTCTATGTGATATATATCTTAATGTGGTGTTTTTGCTGAAGGCAATATGTTTCCTTTATGTGAAGTTGATTCTTTTATTTCAAATACATTCATTATAGTGTCGTTTCTCTCTCCTCCTACAGACAGGTTTTAGTTCACTTCACCAGGAGAGCTCATAGTATCGTTGATTAAATTCATCTTCTGAGCGTTTATTTGTGTACCTTGCTGTTTTATGTATATATATATATATATTGTTCACTATGCTGATCATTTTTCTTCTGTATCTCCATGTTTAGCCTTCGTGTTGTAAATTATTTATTCTCGCTACAGCTTAATATATTGTTATTGGCATCAGTTATCTCTCGATGATGTGTGGGTATGAATAGATGTATCATCTCTATTCATACCCACACCCTAGTCTTACTCGTCGTAATAAAAAGCGATATATTCAATTAAACGAAAAATAGAAAAAGTATTCATTAATTCAAAATATCAATTCACTATGGAAATTAAAAGAAATCCAAAGTTTTCTAAATCCTAACAATATAAACTATGGACGATTGCACAAAGATTATTATAATGCAATTCGTATTCGTTTTAATAACTCACATGAACATGATTATGTTGAAAATACTTTAACAAAAGATGTTTTTAATGAAATTAGTTTTCATAAATGGACTGTAGGACGTAAAGAATAAACTTTCACTAATAGAACATTTTCATTATTTTTTGTTACTTATTTAATTTCTATTATATTCATTTTGCTCAATTAATGTTAACGGTAACGAATAATATTCTACGGTAATCATTCTTTATATAATGTATCACTGGTTTTTCTCATTCGTCCATCAACATCGCTATTACTGTTATCAATTTCTCCGTTTGTTTTATATTTTCATAATAAAACTTTGGATTGATATCATCGTGATATGTGATATATCCCGTTAAAAGAGACTCACAAGAAATGCTTTGACTTATTTATTTTTATCTAATCAAGAAGATGAATTTGTATCTTTCTAGCTTTCGAATAAAGTCTGCATGTATTACTGAAAATGAATTTTTCTAATTGATCATTTAAGTCTTTAGAATGAACAAAGATTTTTATCAAATCTGACAAATATTCGACAAATTAGGAATTGTTCATTCGTTAACAGTGGCAAAATGTAAATGTCAAATAGAAAATATGTTGATTTTTTAATAAATATTCTATATTATTGAGTTTTTATTATGTAATTCTTAAGATATCTAGTTGAAGAATATCTTGATGTATAATACATCCAACAAATATAATACTGCTCTTAGAAAAGAAACAAAAATCCATCTGACAAGGCAAAATAAATATCTTCTCTTATGAGATTGTAGACTGCCTTTAATTTTATTTGTAAAAGAATCGAAATAGTAATTTATTTTCCTCCAGTTGTTCCCATGCCCATAGCTGTTTTAAATGTATCGTAAATCCACCATTGAAAACCTGTTAATGTTCCAATCATTAGAACTCGAGTACCAAGACCTTTTGTACAAAGATTAAGAATGCCAAATTTCAGAGCAATTTGTTTAATTGATTGATTTTTATATTCTGGTTTTGCCAT